CTATTGGCAAACATGAATGATTTCTTTCTTCAATTCTAATGTGGCTCTCATCTAGATTACCTAACTATCTTTTTTATGCCCACAATATCCTACCTCCTTTTATTTTCCTCCTACAAATGCTAGGGTCCATAGTTTTTTAAATCAATTTAAATCATTTAAGGATTTTTTTCAAGATCTCTCATGATTGCTATTTTTTCTCAATCTAAAATAAGTGTTCAGTCCTAACCTTGAAGTCAAGCATTATGGTTTCCATATTCCCTATTGTAATAATCATTCATCTTTAGGATGCCTCTCTCATGCTCCAGTAGAACACAAGAAATCTAGTACAAAACAAGAGTTTAGGAAGCTAGGAAAAAGCAACTAGGGCCTTCTGCCACCTTTCATTGTAATTACTCTATTAGTTTATAATAGAAGTTCCTTAGGATATAAAAAAATAATTTAATTGAATTCTTATCATCATAACTAGTTTCAGAAGTTAGCAAGGTGTTATGAACGTAAGGCTGATTATTTGATGAAGAAGTAACTCTTGATGGGGATAGATGCAGATTATGATGCATTCTATTGTTTATTTGGTCAGCCAACTGATGATGCCTTACAATAATCCATTTCTTAATAGCTCATTAAGCTAATTATCAAATTATCTCGCACACCATAGGTGTTATTACAGAAGCTAAGCACATCACAAGCACTCATATGATAGTAAATATAATTAATCGCATGAGTGTACTGTATGAGCATCATATCAATATATGTGTGTTTGAATTTTTCCTTTGTTTTATTGATGCTTGAGTGAGAAATGGGTTTTAGAGTAACTTTCACTCAAGGGTGACAATCCTTCTAAGATTGAAATATGAATGAGTGAGAGATTGAGGAACATTATTCTCATTCTCTCTTTGCTTCATGCATCTTGAATCTTCTAACTTTTTTCCTACGAGTGATCTAGAATGAAGTAAGAAAGTTCTTTATGATCTTGGGCCTCTTCAGTCATAAAGTCATCTAAATGATCTTAACTCTCTCATATTCCAGTTTTGTATTTTGAACTTCATAAATTCACGTAAAACTTGTAAAATCAATATTGATCAAGTACGTTGAAAATTTTATATAGGGTTTATTATATTGACTCCTCATTCAAAGAACTTTTTATTGATTATACACTTGGATTAGTGAAGCCATTTGATAAACAAAATCTAAATATTAAGATTCTCACATAGGATGATATAGGTTTGTAAATCTTTAGTGTTTCTATCTTTTGGAAAAATTGTGTTGATTCAAGATATTTTCTATAGTCAAGATATTTGATCCCTTTTATATCATGTGACATTATTATAATACCGTTCAATACATATAGTTATCATAAAAGCTTTTTTCTTAGCCAACTTGTAATCTAATACTATTATTAATTTCATGATTTCATATCAGGAGTAATTGTACAAAATTTCTCATCCATTCATCATCAAAATCTTCTTTCAAGCCATAACTCAACATAGTAGTCATTTACAAGTGCACAAAGTAAGAAATGTGTTTGAATGTAGGAAATAAATGGGTACCATACCAAACTACAGCATTACCTAAATGGTGGCTGTGTGAGCAGTAGTGAGTACACAAAGTAGGAAATATGTCTATATCCATGTGTATGTGAGATAGAGAAATGGGGGGAGATATATATATATATATATATATATATATATATAGAGAGAGAGAGAGAGAGAGAGAGAGAGGTATAGTAAAAGCATGTGCCTCTTTGACCACTTTCCCAATTGTCACAGCTTGATGATTACTATCAATAATATATTCCCCAACATTTTTTCAATATAGAAATTGAACCCTATTTCATTGTTAGAAATCCATCTTATCATAAAAAGATTTTTCTTATTTTTCATATACTTTATCTTTTCCGAGATAGTTTTCTCAAATGAACTATGAGAGTGACGACCTAAGAGTAGGAATGATAGAAAAAATAGAAAAACATTGGTAACATTTGTAAAGACTTATACATGTTTCACTTTGGAAATATTTACTAATAGCACATAAAGATGAACATGTCAGTAAATGTGAGTAGTGGGAATATTCTAACAGATTAGGCAGCATCTCATCCAAGATGGTCCATCTAGTGAGAGGCTGATGGGTCTTCTCTCATTGAAAGGAAATCAGACTGCTTATTCTAATGCCAAACTCTAGGCTGTCCAAGGAATTGAAACAAAGCCAATCAGAACCACCTAATCTGATGGCATAAGTGCATCTCTAATGATTGTCCAAGACTATTACAAATCTTCTTTTTTTTCTGTCCAAACATGACTCTGGTTTACTACCATCCTCTTTTCCCTAACACTTACTATTCTCTCTATCCCTTTTCTCTTCCTTCTCTTTCTACCATCCCCTTTCCTTTTCCCAAAACTCAGGTATCTGACTATCAAAGATAATGGTTTAAATGATTGGATATAATGCATAGAAGTTAGTGATTAAAACTCTATGATCTAGTACCTAGAGTAAAAAATGTCAAGTCATTGAAGTTTAATTATTTTTAGATCTCTATTGATTGCCTTCTCTCCTGAAACTTTAACCAGTGCTGAATCCTATCAAAATATCTTGAAAAAATTGTCTAAAGGATGCTTCTCCCTTGCCCTTGAAGAACACAACAAAGATAGCACAACCAAAAAATAAAAACCAATCAACCCCTTCCAGCATCTCTTAATGAAATCAATGAATATTAAGTCACAATTTCTATAATTAAATTCTTAGGATGATAAAAAATTACTCACATTAACTATTCACGTCATTTAAAGACAATTTCTAATGTTAAGTAATGGTTTCTATTAGTAAGACTGACTAGGCAATGGAGTATTTAGACATTTATGCATATATTCCTTGTCAAATATTTAGAATAATTATTTTTGAAGCTAATCATACCAAGTTAGCTGAATGAGTGGGTAAACACAATAAAAATATAGCCACCAAATCATTTAAATGCACACTCTCCTGACCTTTGCATTTACAAAAGAGGAAGTAATATTTATATCACATGAATCATATCTAATTCTTTTCCCAAAGTAGTTTGTTATGAAAAATATACCATTTAATAAAAGGTTTTTGGATGATGGTAACAAGCATACAATAACCAAGGTATTCAAAAAAAAATTACATAAAATCACCAGTTGGGTGCGGATTTTAAAGTATTATTATCACCAATTGATTTTAAACTAATATGAACATCAAAGAAATCAAGACTGAAAGAAAATAAGAATTACTAAAAAAGTGGTGACAATATGAAGACAAGATATTTAGTCTTCATGACATAAAATCAGATTTAGCATTAAAAAAAATCCAACTTGATATTAACGTTTAAATTAGTGTCACTATTCTAGTTGGGATTCACACTGAACATTATGTGTGGGCACCAAAAGCAAGGGTCACCTTCTTTGAAGAGAACACTGGTTGAAACTTGTTATCTCTATGAAATAAATTAAAAAAGATGCATCAGAGAAATTCAAAATGGACTTGAAATCAGACCACTCATTGATGACTATTTTGTAAAATGTATAGCACATTACACATCATGACTATCACTTAATCACCACCAAAAATAATTTCTTAGATTCAAATGTTCGACCTCTTGTCAATCAGTTTTACAATACATCTATGTAACATAGATGTTGACAAACACTAAATCACCAGCTGTTATTTATGCTACCACTATATAGAAATAGATAACTTGAAATCATCATTCTTGTGTAACTTTAATTTAACTAAGATACCATTAAAGGCCTTCCTTGCTGAAGAGACTCTTAATTACTTGTCCTCAATTGAATAAAGCAATGGCTGCCTTAATGGGCACAAGTCACCCGTTTTTTTATTCCTATAATTATAGAGATGGAGAGGGAATTAAATATTTCCTCCTCTACCGAATACTAGATCATCATCTCTTGCTGACACATGTTCATAAAACAAAAGTACATCCAAAGTGGTGAGTGTAAGAAAGAGATGGGCAAAAAGATCATCTCTTGCTCATCTCACACTTACCAAATTGGATTTCATTGTACAGTGTGTACTTTCTTCCACTTTATACCTATTGGATAAGAGAGACAAAGGAGACAATATTTTTATTTCCCCTATTAACGTCTATGTTATATAATTTATATTAGTCATAATCATAAATATACTGTTAATACCACCACAACAATAAAAACATACTAAATTTAGATGCAAATGAATCAAGATCAACTTCTACAAGTGAAGAACTTAAGCCAAACGACATAGAGAACTTTCTTGAGCGGAAGATGGCCTTGTGATTAATAGTGGTATTAAATAATTCCATTCTTACCCGTTCCATAATTCTGCCAAGCTGAGGTTGAATGGCTATAATGAACACTACTACTAAGAAGAGGGCACAACCAGGATGCCCGTTTCTTCTCATCTCCCCATGATTGAGCACACAGTGTTATTTTCTTCTTGTACACTTGAAATATCTCGGAGGCATCCTCTAACCACTCCATGTCCCATGATTCCCAGCTGTTGCACCTGACTCTTTTAAAAGGAGAGGAGGAGCAAGACCACCTTTTCACACCTCATAGCCAAAGGCAATAGTTGCGCCTTCTAGCAGCACAGAAAAGCAGACAAGGCACAGATCACGGCTCTCTGACCAGCAGAAGCAGCTAAAACACACCACCAACGGTTATAATAACCTGAAGCAATGGAAAAATGAACCAAAAGCTCTGCGCATTACAGCAAATCTCTGTGCAAAATGAAAAAGGGTAAAAGGTATGATTTCAACTCTGATATCTACGTTCTAACCTATGGAGAATTATAGGCTCAGGGAGGAGACCACCAAGAAGTCAAAAGCAGAAAAATAATATAACCCAGCTATAAGACAACTGTGTAGTGTTATTCTGGTGAGACTTTTCCTTTGCGGGGTGGAATGTTCCAAGATGACTCCGGAACTATGAGAGGCAATGACGCTTTGGGTCACAGCTCCGAACCAACCAGTAGATAACAAGTGTGTGGCTCTAGCCAGAAGTAATACAGGACGTGCCTGAACCAGGTGATCTTTCAACCAGCCGCTTGTCACGATTGATCATGAGCCTGATCAGAGGAAGCTTCGCAGAGACTTGTCGCCATATTTCGTTTACTGTTCCATTTGGATATTCGTATTCAAAATACCGACTCACCTGAAAGTAAAATTAGGAGTGAAAAGGAAGAAAATATATTTTGAGTCATTGATGTCAATCAGACACAACTCCTAGCAGATTATCTGATTCCACAGAGCATCAGAGAATAATACTCTCATACAGGTGCAAAAATAATTAGTAGAGACGAAAGAATTAGATGATGAAAAACAAAACAAAAACATCAGTTAATGCAAGCCCCAAAGAAACGATTCGGAACTATACCAACTCACCCGATCAAGACTTTCAGAAAAGCCAACTCAACTTACCAACACCTGATCAACCAGGACAAAAGCAAAATTCAAAAGTTGTTCTCCCTTCCTTGCTACGCCGTTACAGGAATAGAATTAAAAGTATTATTTCAACATTTATCTGTGTTTTATCCGGAATTTCAAAAGCTGAAGATCACATAGCAAACAGAATATTTAGAGTGGGAGACGACGTAAGCCTACATTCAACAGATAGAATTTCACCTCTAAACCCTTTAACTTTCCTCAAGATTTACAATATTGCTATTCTGAATGTCCTTCTAGACTTCAACGAACAAGCGAGGGGAATGATGAAGTCTTTGGTCCGGTGCCAACCATTTCAGACTTGAAGTCTATCAAACTTACAGATTAGACAACCTATGTTTAATGCTGGAACTAACGCACTAAAACGACTGCATTGACACATGAAAGTGAAAAAAAAATGGGAATACTGGGGTCCCTAGGAAAAAGCAACATGAATTATGTGATATCCACCCCAATGGCTGCAATCCGCCAAATAGTTAAACAAGTTCTTTTTGACCTGACTAAAATGTAAGCAGCCATTATGCGTGCACAGCTGATGATATGCGACCTTTTACCATTCTTTATACTTTTTCAGGGAGATATTCATTTAGCTTCATTCCACAGAAATATTCATCAGCTGTGCACGCATCAGAAAGAATAAAAATATTCCACAGTTTGAATTTATTTTAATTTTATAGGAAATAAAATCCCCATGTCCAAGCGAAATATTTGAATCTTTTTCTCAGCAAAGCAACGGCATCAGAAAGAATATCTAGACAGACCTTCCAGCCCCAAATATCACAAAGATACTCTTTCTCAGAGAAGAGAGAAATTCAATCTCATGAACTCCAATGTTTCTAATAACTACCATGTATATGACTGTTTGGATCAGGTAGATTTTTGCTAAAAGCTTTGCATTATCCCTGAACAATGACTCAGATTCATCAATTACAAAGAAACATGGAAAAAAAACACAACTTAAAACCAATATTGACAGGATGTTACAGAATTAGCTGGACTATTCAAAAAATATACACAATTTCACCAAAAAAGACAACACTGATTGTAATTTTTTTAACCAGCATTCGTAGGGATTGTAATAAACAAGAAATATGGAGAGGGTAAGAGAGCTAGTAATGAAGGTTCCCTTACAGATTTAAGCTCCCGCTGGTATTCCAGAATTCTTTCCGTCTTTATGTTCCTCAAATGCTTGGTTAAATACCCAGGCTTCACAGATAATTTAGTATCTAAAAATATGGCAATTTTTCTGTAGTCTAACACATCCTCAAAAGGTAACTCAATATCGTCACTGACAATCACAGGGACACAAAGACTAACAATAGCATCAAAAAGCCTACAAGCTGAAGGGGTGTCTCCAGCAGGATGTAAACAGAACTTGGATGAGTGCATCCCCTGTGTTGCCATGCGCCGACTCTCTCGCGACTGAGTCCCATGTTTTATAACCACATCTTCTTCACCCTCTAACACCTGAAAGAGCGTGTCACGAACTTTCCCTCCCTAAAAATAATAATAATGTTGCATTAGGAATGAAGTATATAAATATATAAATATATAAAAAAATGCAGTAGTACTCGAACATAAGACTCACAACAAGGATGATGAATGAAGACAAATGGTCAATTGTTTCAGAAAAGAATAAATAAGCTCTGGTCCATGGCGGTAACCCCCCACGGTTTTTGCTATACTTTCCATACAGCTATGATCAACCAGGATGATAGGCCCAAGTACTTCCCTCCCTAACCATTTATTTCCTTGTTGCCAAAGGAAGATGAAAAGTCTATATGCTACCGTTTTTTGGTAAGATTTAGTGTACATGAAAAAGAAACGAAAAGGCAGCCTAGAGTCCAGGATACGAGGACGAGAATTTCAGTTCTCAAAACATTTCCATTTATCCGCCTTTATTAAAGCTAGAGGAAGAGGAAAGAAAAAGCAACCGTGCATGTTTTAGAAGTAAAAGAAAGGCAACAAGAAGAAATGCAAGGATGAAAGGTCACCTCCTTCCTGTACCGGTTGCCCATGAAGAAGAGCAGACATTTCCTCCCCTCGACACCAATGTCCCCTTTGAATGGATTAATCCGGTGAGAGTACGGGAGGATCACATCCTTCACCAGCGACGCCTGGTCATCCCTCAATCTACCAAAATCCGACACCAGTAAAACACCCTTCTTCACTCGATCAATCACCTTGTACAGTGCATTGGGGTCCTGGCAGATGAAAACGTGATCCCTCCCCATGTTCCTCTTCCAATACTCCTGCCCTTCCAGCCACTGCATCAGATCCTCCTGCATCCCCTCGTCACTGTAGACAGGGGCCACGGCGGCACCGCCCGTGCCCAGCGGACGGATGGGGTTCACCACTAGGCTGAGCGAAGAGAAGAAAGGGACGTAGAACAAGTCTGCCTCCTCCGGATCGTCAACTCTGGTCACCGGCGACGTAGCCGGCCGGACTTGGCGGAGCAGGTCGGTAAACAGCCACCACTCGGCGGAGTGCTGGTGACCGGGGTACCTGAAGGAGCCATCGTCCTTGCTGACCGCGGCGGCGGGGACTCTGGCAAGAAGGTAGCTCTCGACGACGCCGTAGGTGAACTTCCTCGGGAGATCGTACAAATAGATTTTGGCCTTAGGCGCCGCAGCGGAGGAATCCGAGAAGCCGTTGGATTTGGAGGCGGCTTCCCGCGGCACGGAGAAGAAACGTGGCCGGAAGAGCAGGGTGAGAACGACGAGTACGAGCGCCGCGGCCATGGCGGCGATGAGGAGCCGGCGGCGGCGGGGCATCCGTGGGGACAAAAAGGATCTGCAGACGAGGGTCAGCGTCAAGGCCGGAGAAGAGGATTTTGCGCCATCCCCAGTGGGGGAGGAGGATCTAGTGGGGAGCTTGAGGTACTGCTGCTTGCGGGGTCGGCTCCCCTCCGACATCCCCGCCGGGGAGAGGATGCCACGCCAAGGGGAAGGAGCGCACGAAGCAGGGGAAAGGGAAGGAATCCCTTCCTTCCCAGAAAGGAGAGAGGAGCCATCGATATGGAACTCCAAGCTGCAAATTTTATAGCCGGCCAACCAGCTTTAGTCAGCGCCCCCCTGGAATGTTTTTTAATAACCAAAATATTCTCCTATTTGTTAGATATATTTTCGTAGCCCTCACCGAAAGGACTTTTTATTTTTTAATTCACCCAAAATCAAGCCGTCAGATCACCATCTTACCCTTCTATCATTTGGCAATTTACATCCCCTAGTACTTGTCCCCAAGTCAACGGCCAAAGCAGCGGCTTCAAAACCCGTCAAATTTACACTTACACCCTTATACTGGTGGTTTTTGAATAACCAAAAAGCCCTCCTATTTATTACATATTTTTCGTAGCCATCATCAAAAAAGCCTTTTATTTTCAATTCACCCGAATAAAAAAACCGTCAAATTACAGTTATACCCTTCTGCCGTTAACATCCCCCCTGGTTCCCTCCTCTTTCCAAAGCAGTCCTACTCTCGTAAATAATAGGATCAAAATGCCTTTTTTGGCCGGAAATAAAAGAAGGGGAGAATTAGGGAATCAGGAGCAGCTTGGTGAAGAACAGAGGCTGGGCACAGAAACGCTGCCCCGCCCTCTGCTCTTGGAGGATGATCGAGCAGCTGGGGAATCAGGTCAACACCGAGGCAGTGGAGCAGGGTAGATGTCCAACGGTTGGTAGCTCAATCTGCTGTTGACTGGCAACGGCCCCTCCTGAAAGAAAAATAAATAAATAAATAAATCGCCTATATTGGTCTTTACTTTGGGACAAGCGTAGATTATGGAAAAATAAAATATTTTTAAGACCAGATTATGGCACCACACGGGATAATAACCCCACAACAACAACCAGATTAAATGAATCCCACCTCAGTGCCCCAAAGATTCATTCCAATAATCTCTCTCTCTCTCTCTCTCTCTCTCTCTCTCTCTCTCTCTCTCTCTCTCTCTCTCTCTCTCTCTCTCTCTCTCTCTAAGAAATAGTGTGAGTTCCTACTTTCATGTAGCATCCATCGCACATGAACAAGTAAAGAGCCAGCTAGTAAGAAATCATCATAGTAGCACTGCGATGTGGAGAGATTGGAGTTTTCCATGAGAATACATAAAGTGTTCTATGCTGCATAAATATAATCAGATATGATATGGTAACTGAGAATCAAAACTCGTAGTAGTTAGAACATCATCAAATATCACTCTTTTCCAGCATTTTTTATGATAAAATAAATAAATAAATAAAAATTACCTCTTCCAAATTTATCTGGTATGGTTGCACAAGATCAACAAGCATTACGGGTGACAGGTTCTTCATCTTTTCTTCTACCTCCTGGAAACAACAAGTGAAAAATATGCCAAACAAATATTCAGATATCTAATTATTCCGTTCACTTATCTAATTATTCACTTCTGTTTGGAGAAAATGATGGGGATTAAACCACCGGTAGAAGACTTTGGTCCAGTGAAAGCCAACGAACAACAGAAAACAAGAAAGCACAGAAAAAGACATCCAGGAAAATGGAAAATACCCAGAAGGACAGTCAAACGACCAGCTCAAGTCAAGACACAAGTTGTACAGATACAACCCACATGTCACACTGTTCATGAAAAGCAGTCCCGCCCCTCATCATGGAAATAATCCAGCACATGACATGAGATACGTAATAAAGTGGTCTGATGTTCTTCATCTTCTGATTTCCGGCCAAGCAAGAGTTCAAAGTATTTCTCAGACCTAAACTCATTAGAAGTCTCGCAATCATAAGATGATCATCATAAGTTGATCCTCATCCACCTTTCTCAATTGGAGTTTAAGCTCCATTATTCCTTCTAAATTTGCCTTCTGAAATAAGAGTTTAATCTTGAATATCCTTGACCAAACTCTCAAATCCCACTTAACCTTCCTGAGACAACAGAGGGACTCAGACGCACTAAAATTTGCTTTATTTAGTACGCCTCTTACAATTTAAGAACATGAAGTTCATCAACCTAGCTTCTGCCACCCAATCAATGACATGCTGGATGTCCCTTATGGAAAGCAAGTTATTTGGTAATTCATCAGGAAATATACGGACAAATTCCTCAAAAAAAGAACTCGTCAACCAGCCAAGTATATTAGTGGATTCGAATCTCTCACCTTCTTCAACCAACGAATATATAAAAACTTTCCTATTTCCCTTGACTCGTGTACAAATTTTCTAATTAGGTTGGAATCCCTCCTTTAAGAACCATTGGGTCTTTCATTGATTAGTCTCACGAAACAAGAACAATCTTCTTTTCCCCTTAATAAATCCATGGAAATTGTCTTTTTGCCATAGTGGACAAGAACATAGTCATGCTGCCAGGTAATCATCTTGCTCTTCAAACACATTTAATCCTCTTGCGCAAACTTGTGGGGCATGTCTTACAGACTGACGCCCCCCTTATACGCACAACAGTAGCATTCATAGCTTTCACGATATGCGTGAGCATCAATTTGCTATTTTACTGTTTCCATGGCTTCTTGTGTAGCTCCTTAGGTTCCACATTCATTAGTTGATGATTCCAATAAAAAGAAACAGCAGAACTTCAGAAATGATTCTCCTTTCCGTTATTTGGACTGGAGTCAACACGTTAAGAGCTACGAATGTAAGACCTTTCAGATTTTATGAGGCCGATGATAGAGCTTGATTCAAGTCCAAAACATCTTGCATAAGCAGCACCTTCTCGTTAGTGCAAATTTACGTCCTCTAATTTAACCTTGATGATTTTTGAGAAGTCTATCTCAAACAGTACAGCTCAAACTGGGAATGTGAAAAAGTTGCATATTCCCAAACACTTAAAGTTGCTTGCCACCCATTTCAATATTGCCGGAATGGTATCTGATCATAATTTATCAAAAGAAAAGCCTGTTCACGATCAAATTGGTGACGTACCTGAGGTTTTTCCCTCTGTGCCTAAGCACTTATTTCTAGTTTGTAGGCAACTAATCTCACCTCGTTCCCTTCCATAGTTGAAAACACTTTCAACTAACCTCAAGCAGCCACAAATCCATGAAATCTTCACTATGGAATTGATCATTGAACGTAGGTAGTTCAACCTTGCAACCACCGTCATACTGATTTTTCCTTCTGGGCACTGGTTGATAACCAACAGATGTCCTTCAATCAGAAAATTTACACTTTTCTGCACCAAGATCATCACTTATGTCCATTAAAATAGGGATAATCACCGTATCTTCTGTTTACTGAAATTCATCTTCATGTACAGAACAAAAAGCCTCATAACAAAAGACAGCTTGTTGTTGCTCGATATGCATTCTCCCCATGGCCTCAGAAATTTTTTGAAGACATTCTAGCAAATATTGCAGAACTTCATGGCATCACCTATATTCGCATTATCCTAAGCAGCTAGCAAAGCCTCCGCTATTAGATATCAAAGGAAAGAAGAACCTCGCTTTGATAGCACACAATATATTGCAATCAACAAAACCTGACTTCATCAAGGTACCGAGTTGCAAAATCCTCTACAGAACTCTGCAGGTAGTATCTAAAGAAGAAATGCCCAGATATAAAAAAAAAATGCACTCCTTTTTTCACTTGCCGACCTAAACAGAAAGAAACACAGAAGTGTCCACATTGTCTTAAAGGAAGAGCTCGCGGATAGGTGTTTATTCCATTTTTTTTTTCTTTATCATTTACATGTTGTATGAGCAATTTTATACAGTCCTCAACAAACGTTGCTGGTAATGCGCTATACTCTTGCCCGATCCACGTCACTTTACTTTCTTTATTGATATCTTGTACCAACCAATCTTCAGGAAGAAAAAGGAAAATGGTTTCTTACAATTTATCGGAAAAAGCATTAGTTTTCATTCACCCTCAACATGTCCCTAAAAATGTCAGTGATTTATATCCTCTTTACAGCAAAGAAATCAACCTATGCACACTTTCGTTCTGTTTCTGTCATGTCACTTGTACATAGAAGCACACTCGCTCCCACCAGCCAATAAGTTTTCGATGGCCGAGTATTAGAAATAACATCCCGCATGGTATGAAGCTAACACCACTGACTTCTATATTCATGAATACATCGAATTAGCATTAGTCTAAACACCGAAATACAGAACTACTTAAAAGTTATTAACATTCAGAAGCATACAAAGCGATCTAACCCACTTTCAAAATATGAAACACAAATATTACCAAAGAATAATACAACAAATTCACAGTTTACAAAAAAAAAAAAAAAACGAACAATATGGAAATATTAGTTTACGTACCAATCCAGTAATGCGAGATTTCTCTAGAAGTTCATTAGCAATCATGTCTAATATATGTCTGTTCTGCATCAAACCATGCATAGCAAGTTCTTCTGTCTCATCAATGTACTGTCAAAGAAAAGGATTCATTAAAGAATTCACACACTGAAAATGTAAAAATCCATTCAGATCAAAAAGTAGTCTTCCAAGGTAGCGTACTACGATGCCAATTACTTGTGGATTTCTTATAGCCAATAACATCGCGATTTGAAAAAATAAAAAAGGAGATATTCCTCACTAAGTGTCCTATATTATGTTTAAAGTATGGCTAAATCCAGTGACAGCAGTGACAAAAATGGACAAAGAAATCGACTGAGTTCCTCGACCAGAAGCTAAGACACTGTGCACATAATTTTATGAGAACGCCAATCCAAAATGATGAAGAGGATACTTACCCTGGTCAATTCACGAGTAAATAGTTCAGATACTTCAGGAGTCATGTCAACAGGAATTACATCAGGGTCATCCCACTAAATAAGAGAAAAAACAATAACTCATTAACCAAAAATGCAAACGTGTCTACAAAGAAGCGCATGAAAGAAAATAAAACTGTACTCCACCTTAAACTTGATCAGCTCCCCCTCTGGGTTATCAGGGCGGTCCATCCCAGCTTTCCTTATCAAGCGCGTAAGCCCTAACCTTGAATTTGCCGGGCTAATTACCATCTCTCTAGCAATCTACAACATGTCAGAATTTTATTAAATGCTTGTAAACTCACATATCTCAAAAGCCAGAGGGTAAAATTTAAATCCGAATTTTCAGAGACCATTCAATCGTCCTACATATCAAAACCAATCTTTTTAACAAAATCTGAATAGGTATATGCAGCCCGAGGTAGCTACACAACAACACTATCAAAATTGGTAGGCAAATTCAGGACAGCCCATTTCTAATTATATGTTTTCTTATATACAATAGAGTCTTCAATTTATCATCACACATTACTGGCATAATAGGAAAGTGAAACTTAGGACAACTCTCAAGTCAAACCATTCCAAATCAAAGGATTTATCCTCAACCTCTACCTAGTACAAGTCAACTAGTGGCACCTCAAAACTCCCAATATGAAAATATAAAGCTATGCAAGGTTTGAGGAGTGGAAAATAGTTAGATGATCCATATAAGAATAGGAAAGATTAAGAGCCTACTAAGGTAGAAAAATATATTCCACCACAAATTAAGAGAAAAAAATTACCTAAGAAATCGACCCCTCGGATTGATGCAAATTCAGAAGTTGAGGAGAAGGTAGAGGAACCTTCCAAACCAGCCAAGAAAAAACAATTCTTGGGCATTCTCTATTGGAGGGATATAATTGACATTTCAACAAACGGGTTCTGTATAGAAAGGTAAATGCAAGACTTACTCTGGAAATTCTCTCTAGATCATCTCTTCCCCCATCAGTGATATCATCACCAAATACAATACGCTCAGCACAGCGTCCACCATGTGCAACTACCATTTGCATTTTCATGTAACCAAACGTAGTGTATCCTTGATCCACCATATCTTCTCTTGGGTTGAATACTGAAATCGCAGTCTCCTGCTCTTGTTAAAGTAATATTATGTTAGAACAGGTTAACTAACTAATCTTCGTGAATCATAACAATAAATGAGAAAATACACAAAATTTAATGCTTTATAAAACGTTGGAGAGCAAATGAGCGCACACATTACGAACAAGTATGAAATAGAGAGTACAACATGAATTAAAAAAAGGTGCCAACATAAGCCTTTCTACCTTTCCACCAGGAAGAAGCTGAGAGAATGCATGCCAATCATATCGAGGGAATAGATGAGCTAATAATATATGGCCAGCCTCATGTACCGCAAGTAGCCTCTTTGTTTCCATAGAAACCTATGTTATTCATAAAAAATCGTGAAACAAACAAGCCATTAGGGAGATTAGAAGCGGTCGAGTACCAACAATCACAGTGATGAATGTTGCAGATAGCTTACATTCTGTTCACACTTCTGCTGCTCTTCTTCAGTGAGCAAGACTCCCATACCCTCAAGCAATTGCTTATCTAAAACATCAACAATGTCTTGCTGGGTAATTAAAGAGTGACCTTTCCTTACCTGCAGTTAGTTCAATGTCTTTATTTGTCAAGAAACCAGGCACAGGCAAAATTAACTAAAACATATATCTTGTCTAAAAAAAATAACTTTAGACTTTTAAAACCAAGCATCATTATGTCGGTAAAAGAAGAAGTAAAAAATGTAACAAATCTACTTTGGACGGCTCGATAATACTTCAATTGGTAATAGATAAGAGATGAACACAAGTTTAGTTCATCTAAAACACCAATATGAAAGATGTGAATTTGTCTATTCAACAGTGAACACCTTTTCCGTGTAAAAATGCATTATCCTTTTTGGAAACCCATAAAATAATAAATATTTCGGACTGAATAAAGGCAATGCAAAGAGCTAGGAAGGCAGAGGTTTTCCTGAAAGTATATAGCGATATGATCAAAAAGGGAAAAAAAACTTTGGGGTTACTTGTTACCCTCTATCTGTTTTTTCTTTGAACTATTTATGCCACATCCTACAGACTGAAAATTGAAGGACGGTTTCTATCAGTGGCTTTTCTTGTAAATTCTCCCCTTTTCTTTAGAGCCAATACAACCATAACCTACTAGAATGGCCAAGATTAATCTTTCCCACGTCATATTTCTGAGCAGTATTAAATCAGCAGTGTTCAATATGTTAAAATGTCAACTAGAAAGCATTATGGAGACAACAATCTATTTGAAGAAGAGCATAACAGCTCAGAAACGGTTTACTTAAAAATGCCATGATTATTAACAAGTATTCTGGGGACATCAATCGAAGTGATCGCAACCAATTTGAACAGCAAGTTAACGAGCCATAACAGAACATGAAGTGATTAACTTACAGACATTATTGCTGCTTCATTGACGAGATTTCGAATCTCAGCTCCTGAGTAACCAACAGTACGGAAAACAAGCTGTAAAAGGAAAAATGGTCAAGGCCACCTAAGATGCGAACTTCCACAGGTTCTGGACTGAACTCAAAAGCAAATAGTTTCACATATATCACACAGCAATAGAGAGTTGTGAAGGCTGATCCTCACAAGTTATGAAGAGATCAAAGAGAGTGAAAACTGCAATAATTTGTAAAAAAAATATGCTGAGGCCTAAAATCATTTTAGCTCAAGCAAATGAGAATGAAGAAAAGCTACAAGAATGCTATTGATAATGTCTCGATACTAAGCATCTGGACAATATTTTAAGTGCCATGGACGAACCGAAACTACAAGAGTGAAGCTAGGTCAGGCCAACGCATCTGCATCCCACAGCTACCCTCCTTTTTGTTCTCTTCAGCTATCGAGATGACCATCTGAATGGCATTCACATTTTGTGTTAGTCTAAAGCAGAACCTACAACCATTAGCCAGCTGTTAGATCTTCCACCTACATCAAAAACTGATCTCTTCCTCCAGCCATCCAAGCATGGCATTCCGAATCCAAACAGTTTGCTGAATTGCCCAAATCAAAACAAGAGACACTATAACTTAAAAGGCATACATGTCTTAGACAAACAAACTTTTGTACCAAAAGGTGCAATTAATTTATCCCCATTTTACGGTATAACAGGTAGTTCTGCAGGGGAATAAGCGCTGCTAGCTGCTAACACAAGGCAGCAGAAGTTCCAGCAAGCCAATACATGAGAGCTGCCAACGAGAACATTGGCTTTGAATAGACCATTATGCTAATTCGATCTGTTCGTCAGAAAAAGATGACGGTTAGAGTGTTAAATGCAGTCTCCTCACCGCCAACAGACAGACCCAAACTGACACAAGGCAGCAGAAGTTTCAGCAAGCCAATACATGAGAGCTGCCAACGATAAACAATAACTCTCAGCCTTGCCTTTTTCTTCTCTTCTTCCCACACCTTCCTTCCTCCACACTGTGCCAGCATGCATGGGATCCCACTATGCCCTGTTCCTCCATATGGTCACAGTAAAACACCTGATCCAGTCTGACGGATCCAGTCAGAAGTCAGAACGAGACCCTTAATCATCACCTTGTTTATCCTTTTATGATTCCTCCATTGCTTTCTGACAATATGAAAGTTTTCCGAAGACTGGAGGACAACAAAACCCAAGAACCAATCATCAAATAGACCTCCAGCTATTGCATAAGTGAACCAACCTCAAGACACGGATTGCTATAATCTCCATCCACGACTTCAAGAGCAAACAAGATTATCTGACTTCGGAAAAGTAAAGGACATCTTAGTGCTTATCAACATGTTTGAGAACTCTCAACTTTCCAGTTATCCTCATAAGCACCCTCAAATGCCTCATTTTCTGTCATGGCTACTTCTTCCAAAAGGCATCAAGGCCATCAGGACGCTTTCTAGTCAGCTCCCATGCTAGCGACAGAAGCTCGAAAGCAGTGTGCGGGTTTTCTGAATTGAAGCAATTCTTAAAGTCAACTAGACTTTGGAGGTGGCCCTAATGAACAGGATAGATTCTTAAAGTAAACACAGAATAATTTCTTTCGTTTAATTTTGCACAAACATATAGCTGTAACTTTATTGCGATTACCTTGTGATATTAGCATGATAGATTCAAGAAACTTAATCATGTATACATTATAAGTAAGATTTTGGTTCATCTGTTTTGTCTTTCCCAGCATTTCAATTCTCTTCTTATGTTAATGTCAGAAGGACAGCGATTTGAACATAACTGAATAACATAGCATCAACAATGGCCGGGATATAATCCTCATAAAACCACAGAAAATATTCGAACATATCTCACATTCTAACGAAAGAGGGTAAATAAATAAATCAGAAGCGAATCAAAAGATGTGAATTGAGAAAATGTCCGTCTGAATCGAATAAAACAATGGCAAGTGGCTTGCCTTTCCAAAGTCCACATCATCAGCAAATTTCTTTCCTGCACTATGAACGCCGAAAATTCTCACTTGCTGTGTGGCATCAGGTAGACCAATGTACAGCCGGCGATCAATTCGTCCAGGACGAACAAAATCAGGGTCCAGTTCATCTGGTCTATTTGTTGCACAAATGAATATTACTGCTTGTCTGAGTGAAAAACGATCCACGCCAATTTTCTCCTTCCTGTGAAAGAAAAAACCAGTAAACTTTATTCTTCAACAACAATGTTTTGAAAATGGGAGGAAAGACTTCAATAAAACAATCTACTAATCAAGGAGATTCATTTCAAGTTAAATCTCGACCATATGCAACTTCACAGTAATTATTTGGAAAGATAAAGCACACCTATAACTCAATCCACAGCCCGTGCAATGATTACTGATTTTTTTCCACAGCTTTCAACCCACTTTATTGTACCATATCATGTACCATTTCTGCACAAAGCATATATTTATGTCCAAAATCGCACTTAATTCCGGGGATAAGACTAGAGAAACACATCAATCAAGAACTGAAGTTTCCTTTATTACTGGTCCTACATGCTGTTATAAGGGATAGACTGTATAGCCCAAGATGACCATTGAAAACCTCACTCACTACTTTCCGAGAGTGGTTTGAACTGATATCCTCACTGCGATGTGTGAGCTCTAGTGAAAACTGGATTGAGTGGAATTAGCAGATTCAGGTTGCCAAAATCTCAAAGCCACCGGTAATAGTAAAACATTTTTCAATCACATCATATCAAAGGTCTAGGAAAGTGCAATCTTATCTCTCCTCTCATTTTTTGATGGAGCAACGAGGACCATGAGACACTAGGGGCTAGATTAATGCATATCTGAGAATCAGTACTTCAAAATCTGAAATCACCAAAGACACAAATAGGACAGATGAGATCTTTTCCCCATGCACCCTATCAGATAAGCCTGAATGGCGTTGAAGACAATTACGAGTGAAACTTTAGCTCAGGGACTGAGATCTTGAGCATGAGGTATTATTATTTCTTCTCAGATAGCAGTGTGTTTACTCGTCATGATTATCCTGGTCACTAAGTTTCAATCAGGTGCCTTTCTGAGGGTGCAGCAAGTAGACCTCTCTTAGACCAAGATAACAAGACTGAAGATTAATTCGAAGAAGAGTTCAACTGTTTCTATTTCGATAAAATAAGGTTGCTGGGGTTCTTTCAGGGACTATTGAAAGAATGATAAAGATATTTCAGAAGATGGCAATACCTCTTACAGCACAGTGGTACAACAGCACTTCTATCCATGAACTATGGGATTCTCACCTTCTAAAAAGTACCTATTGATTCTTGACCCGAAAAATTTAATCTCTAGAGAGTTCCCTACAGGAAGATTATCGTAAATGGGAGCTACGTCTTCCAAAAAAAATACAGCATTATACTTAACAGCACGTGCTACCAACGAACCACTTTCTGGAAACAATTTGCCATGAAAAAACCAATGAGCCAAAGAGGAATGCAAATGAGAGTGACTCGTTGCTCCCATCACGGTCAGAAAATTAAAATAAAGATAAAAAATTAATATTATCACCAAGTCTTCGGAAAAGGGTAAAGACGCTTACTCTCCATCAAGTTGTGAGAGCAAAGCTTCAAACGTTGCCCTTCGTCTTGGGTCCTTCCGTGCATGTCTTCCAGCAATAGCATCAACCTCATCCACAAATACAAATGACGGAGCCTATATAGCAAAATTACATCTTATCCCAGGGATTATGCCATCATAAATTAACCATAAAGAAATCAGATTGCCATTTATCTTTTTAAAAAAGCAGTGGAAAATAAACCCAATAAACAGCTATTCTCAAACTAGCCAGTGCAAAACTTCTATGTCAGCGCACAAGCATGCTGCTTCTGGAGGTAGTAATGATGATAATTGCAGCTAATTCTTGTAAGGTAATGGAAAATATATCTCCAGCCGAGAAGCCAAAAGTGTCTCCATATTGAAAAAGTGTGTCATTCCCTGACACTGATATTTGCAAAACTGAGGTCAGCAAATATGATATAATTGATAGAGTCGGAATAAAATCCCAAAAAATATTAAAATATGAATCAGGCATGTCATACCACACAAATTAATTACACGACACATTCTGAGATTTTGGAAATTAAATAATTCTTGAACCTGACTTCCAGCATCCAGAAATTTTACTCTGAGTTACCTCAGTTTTGGTCAAAGGATAATGTAAAGGAGGTAAGACATGAGCTAACCTTCAGTGTACCCGATCTCATAAAGAATAATTATTACATTGACAACTTAATGTCTACGAAATCGATTGTGCATGACTAAAAAAAATTAAAACAATATATATAAAGATTTAACACTAGAAGTATTTCAATTTTCTAAATCATTGGAATACACTAGGGAATTAAGAAGTTTACATTTCTCCTGGCAATCGAAAAAATCTCATTGATCCTAGCAGCTCCACTTTTCTCACTATCAGTGAACTCTGCCCCAGAAGCAAAGACGAAAGGCATGCCACTTTCCTTAGAAAGTGTTCGTGCAAAAAGCGTTTTGCCTGTTCCAGGAGGACCAGAAAGGAGAACACCCTGAGGCAAGAGTAAGGGAATGAGTAAAAATTAGTTTGTGCAGAGAATTGTGAATATCATAAAAGCGGGGCTAAGACTTCAAGATACTAAAATACAGCATTTAAAAAAGAGTCAGAAAAGCAGTCGGACCAGTTACCCTAACAAAGGCAACTTCCTTCTCGTAATACTGCATTGGATTCCTCATATAAATCATCAACTCATCTAAAAGATCCCATACATCACCTCCTAGTACAACTTCTTTATACATTGAATGTGTCTCGTCTGCACTTCCCAGAGGCTGGAATTGATTCATGTAAACGATTGTCACAAAACGAACACTAATGAAACTTCTCTGCAGCATACTTTATGACTGAGTCAAGTCACAAAGTAAGATACATGTCGCATGCAAAATGGCATATCGGAGACTTACCAGGATAAAGTTCTCAGCATAAGCCATGTCAAAGAGTTGGTTATATTTCTTGTATAGAAAGCGTTGAGAAGTGATGTGCAAAAGCATCACAGACTCTCTTATAAACCATAGAATAATTATTCCTGGGGCTAATGCGACAACCACCTTGAGAAAGTAATGAAAATTCTTTTTCTGAAGAAGATCCACTTCAACCCCAGCACTCGAAATAGTTTCAAACAAGTATGGATCGAGAGGGATATCAACCTACACATGATATTCACTAAATGAGATAAACCAATTTTGAAAAGAATGTTCATCCACAACGATCTTGCAATAGTGTCCTGGAATTTCGAAAACTGTTAGACAAACTTACAATATACTCCAGAGGGAACCCTTCCTTCATTGTCACATATACTCTCTTCAGGTCCTCCGAAAAGACAACAGCTGCAACCTAATTTAACAAAATCATGCTTTGCAGTAATATTTTTGGACAGAAGCGAAAAGCAATGGGGCCTTTTCACTACTCTGTTTGCAGATGCCGACAAAATAGTATTACTAGTCTTCTAATATAAGCAAGGCATGATTGCAGTAATATTCTGACGTGAGTGATCTATGTTCCTAACCCAAAACAAAGCGTCAGAGGATATTATGATTTCATAGCACAGTGCAGATTCGGTGTGCAGATTCAGCTACCTTAATTCTCTGCATGAACAGAATATTACATGAAGGAACTAAATATGAGGATGGGGAGCAGAGGACACAAACTTTTCTGAGATAAGGAAGATTAATTTACAAATGCTAGTGTATGCTTCTACAAACTTCTACCAAAAGTTCAAGTTCTACTCGAAATGCACAGAGCATATACCTCGGAGCAATCCAGTTTATTCAGAAAATATGTGTATGGCAACTTTGGACGGTAGCGCCACCATCTCTTGGAAATCCACAATGCTCTGGTACCATCTGTATCTGATACTTTCTCCACCACCTCTGTGCGCAGACTCTTCTCTACCTCCTCCATATCAAAATCAACCACATAATTTGCATTCAATGAATCTGCCTGTTCAGCTAGTTTATCAGCCCTCAAGATCTCTTTCCAAGCTATAAGCCTGTCACGCCATGTTGATCCATCCATACTGCCCTCCCCTAATGAAACCAAAAAACTTTAGGACCGGACGAAATCAGCTATGAACCAGAATGCGCCAGATAAACACAGTTAATGGAGATTACATTAAGCATACCGTCAAAACAACGCACATCAACCATACAGATGAAGAGAAAAACATGGCAATGACTCTTCTTACCAAGTCAAGCCAACTCAACATAGCTATCCCTCATTTTGTTTAGCCAAACAGATCAGCGGGCAATGACTCTTCTTGACCGTTTTTTATGTTTTTTTCATCAAGAACACGAGGCATCCAATTGATGGCAACACAGGCATCCACGTACAAATGGAAGTTCATGCATGACTGTATACACGATGAAGCCATTCAACTGTTCAAATGCACATAGAACCACACAATGAAGCATCATGTAGACACGAAGATAGAGAACTTGAAAAAATTAAATATCTCATTTTTTGTGTTTTAGTTCGCATTTAATTCTTCATCTCCTTCATCACCCTCCTACTCATTTCTTTTATTCATATCTTTCGAACATCACCCGTTAGAACTGTGGGAACTGGCTTTAACCATCAGTATTCGTAGTTTTTCAATATTTTGCACGACGAATGCTTTCTCCACATTATACGTTTCTCTTTTAAGTCAGGTGATTCCATTTGAATATGAACCACGGATTTAGTGGTCGATTTGATTGTCTACATCCCCTTTTTTTTGTTCGGTGGGACTCGCGCTCGCTAATCTTCCTCACTTGACTTTTGACATTTGATTTGCTGAGCAGCTCAACGAGAAAATGTGTAAATATGCATACAATATCAATCCGAACTTGAGAAAGTGAAATATCTCGAAAGCAGGATCTGAACACAACAGGTAATGCAAGTAACCTCTCTTATGTCATTAGCCAGACATGGTTTGGCTTGTACTAACCTGTGACGCCCAAGTTTGACTTCAGCATCTTCTTTTGTTCATCATTTAACCTTGAATCATTGTCAATGACTTTGATGACATTATCCTGAGATGACTGTGGATCATCATCCCATGCATCTTCTCCAACATAAGAATCGTCCTGAATAAGTGTCCCATCAGGTCCTTTTATAAACTTTTTGATTTTCAGACCCTTTGGCAATGTCTTCCTCCATAGACTTTTCTTAAACCTGCAATAGAAGAAGCAACATTATACAATGACAGCATGTGTTGCAAAAACTTTAAATTACCAATATGTGAGTAAGTTTTAAAACACTAATGTGAAATTTTGCAAATATTTAATTTAAAATTCCTCACCCCAACATGACACTTACTTCCTAACATTGGCTGGAGACGGATCAGGAATCAAAGCCTCCATGTAAGCCTCCGTCAGTTGCTTTTTACTTTGACGATCAAGACGAGGTCCAACACTTACATAGACTCTCTGACATGAAAAAAATACAACAGCAATGTACAAGATCAAAGCACCAATTCTTTTAGGTTCCCAGTTCCTTAGGTCCTGCAAATGTATAACTAAATCAACTATCAGATATTATCCCAATAAAGTTATTAATAACAGTGCCAAAGTTCATACTATATTGAAATAAATATAAGTCATACAAAAGTTCTCTAGATGAATAAATGAAAGTAGACTGAGTATATGCATCTATTTAGCGGGATATGATTTCATTAGTAATGACAGAAAGATCGAATTTCTAGATCACACTGACACTTGTTCTAAAAAAGATGGCATACCCTAGAAATACAGCTGCGGATGCTTTTGCTCAATTAAGTTAGCCATTAGTTGTCCGAAAAAACATTAAGCATACATCCCGAGACCACGTTAGTCTTCTTTCCTGATATTAAGAGCACTTTCTTAAAAGTAAAGAAGTATTTGTCCTTGACGCCAAATTGCATAACTACCGGGCAATTGATCCCAATGAGTCAAGACAAACCCATCTCATCAAATATATGGCCTACACGGGAATATAAGACGACCCAACATATTATGTTGAAACTCAATGCCTTGTGTGAAAACATGAAAAGTGACAGAAAAACGTCGAATTACATCAACTCCGTTGCCACCAGCAATTCTCCAACTTATATTAGTTTTAGTATGAAACTTTAGTTAAAATAATAGATTCTCCTTTTATAAACTGATCCACCTCACATAAGCTTGTCAAATCACCAAGATGGTAAATCATGGATGTAGGAGAAAGTCTTGCCCACACACAAGAATGTAACCAAGAAAAGATGATGATTCCAGGGAAAGGAGGCAGAGATATGAGCAAAATGCAGAAATGAGGAACACAGGCAGAAGCTTTTTGGATGACTTTAACAGGTGACAAAACAAAAGCATATCCATGAGGTTTTTTCGAAGTTCTGAAGCCATCAATGGGGAATAGATAATAAGCTCATCTTGAATCTCACAAAACGATTTCAACTTCTTTAGACTTAACCACGGGCTTTCATATAAGTGATATCATCTCTGTATGTAACGTACCAAAGGTTTTTGGACGGGCAACACACTAAAGAGAAGATTGCATACTCTTGCACCTATTTACAAATAGATTGTAAGATTCTTCTGCTTGCATTATAGAGAACAATGTGTACGTGATTTCTTTAAACCTAAAGGCAGCACACCTGATGCACCTTTCAACCAAGAGTGTTGTACCCAATTTTCCAATCCTTCTTGCTTTCTGGTGAGCAGAACAAAAATCTTAACCATCTCCAGCCACAGATATAAGAGAGAGATGCATGACCAGCTTCTGAGAGTCAAAGAGTATCCTAAAGAGGTAATTTATCAATTATATCGTCCTCCAAGCTTTCCTTGGAAATAAGATGGAACCAATTATCATTGAACTTGAGAACGTAAGTAGAGAATACACAATTTTATTTCAAGTATACTCCTAAAAACACTCCGAAGAAAACATAAAAAAAAAATGAGTATACAGCAAGGGAGTATATGTTATGCTGGGTGATTTGATGCATATAACAGATGCACGACCAGTCTCTCACCTTATCAAACCCTATCTACCAAAACTGTCTTTGGAATAAGTCATTAATCTCGTTCATCACTTTGAGTAAGTCGCATGCAAGAAGCCCTCTGTGATTTCCCAATGCCAATTCCAACCAGTGAACATCTCTTTCACCGCTTCACAATGATATGATAATGTTTATTACATGGAAGAGCATAGAAATAGAGATAAAGCAAATCATCAAGTCTGTCGGGAATGAAAGATGTGTTCATAATATCCGTTCAATGAACTAACCAATCACATGCAAAAAGTTGCCTCTGAGAATCCGCTTTATCAATATTGGATATCTCCATTCAAGATGGCATACAGCACCTAGCTCCTCTAGCAGAAATAATTCGAAAACTTCACTTGACGATGAAGTTACAGAGCCCAATTTATCCACAAGGACATAAGCCAGATCAAAGTTATCATCTACCTCATAACGTGCATCTCTTCCCAATATTTTTACCTTGAAATAGTAGGATCCTTAGGCATTCTTTTCAAGACCCTTCCACTGTGCATTTGGACTACAATAATGAAGCGTGCAGTTTTCTGTCAGAGGCACCATTAGAGTGCATGGTCTCCCACAGAAGGCACAAAAAAGCGATCCACAAATTATCACTTTTCTTTAAGAAGGAAAACTCAAAAAATTCATTTGTGGTCCACGAAGCTTCAACCTCAACTGTGACTAGCCTTTTATTTATGAATTGACGCACCACCTTACAAATAAATGGTCTGATCTTCACGGGAACTGATTGGCAGATGTTTCAACGCAAGGCTTAATGCAACCTAGAGAACAATGTACTCAAATTTAACGAGGTATTGAAATCTAGAAGGAAGAGAACTCGAAAGCATTGCCTGAAGTTTGCTACATTTACCGGAATCTCACAGAAGAAATGCTGAAATTTTGCAGGGTACCTGGTTAGAATATAGAATTAAGTTGCAAAGTTTCAATGGTCGAGTGTTATGAGAGTATCCCCGAGATCCGTACTGATCCACTGTTTTCCGGTGCTTTTAGTCATGTACTTTTGTAGGTTGCGGATTGTCAAGTTTTCTCGATGATGATGTCCCCTCAGTCGATTTCAGTCATGTAAAATATGGTTATGCCTAAAAAATTAGCTGAAAGCGTCTGATCCAATCCGTGATCAGTGGTGTTCTGCGGACGCCCTGGGATGTATTTGCATCACATTATCTTTTTTCTAAAATACCGGTTGCTAATGGCCTGAGCAGCATCTCATCTGCCAAGATTTAATACAATAACCTCCTCTATAATTTAACGAAATCGCTAGCATGTCTCTCCCTTTCACCGAGAAATAGAAAAGAAAAGCCAAAAGATTTCCAGGCTATTTCACCAAAATCATGTAAATGTAAGCCTTTTAGTGCTGGCAGGTCAATAATTCAACCTAGACCGAAAAAGTTTATATTTTAGCTTCTGGCGCTTAAAACTTTGGCAGGTCCTAAGGAAAATGACCATTGCATGTAGATAATATGATATATAAAACCAAAAGCGTAAGGCTCTAAAAGATAAGCAAGTTATCTAATAGGTAGGCAATTACATGAAAGTATTATTGACATACGAAAATTCCTACAAGAAAGTTCACCAAGCTCTATAGCTCAACGAAAAATTTTCTTTAACGGAGTTAATTCGAAAAAAAAAGTCCATATCACTCATCCACACATGTCAACATAAAGATCAGTTCTACGAAGAAGGTTTAAACTTCTGGGAGACCCTGTTAGATCCCCCATTTCACAAAAGTAAAGGTTTCAGCATCACACTTTGCCACGATGCCAACGGTAAACAATCTTTGACAACAGAAAATATTGATCCAAAGCCTTGCTACCATACGACGACTACAGAATGGGTAGGTATCAAATGAAGAAGGCTTCGGAAAAGAGGACGGCCCATTAGAGGCTGTGAGTCAAAGCGTTGAACAAATCCTCTAGTGAATGAGCTACTGTTGCATGAGACATATTTCTCATCATAAGACATCCCCATTAGAGTGCAAGTTCAATCAGACTACCGTTAAACCCAGCGACATAAAGCCGCATTTTTCAGTTTCCCAAATAGCCACCGGTGAGCCCGACACAGCATAGAGAAACGTTACATTCTGGAGAGCACACTGCGAGCATCCCCATTATGTACTAAATGATAGAAACTTTCTTCGGAAGCGAATTCTGTAATATCGGACAACATTTTGACGGTTCCCCGGCATCAGAACTAGACGGCAATGAACGCAGGAAGAATGTTAGTGGAGCCATTGAAAAGGCATAAAACACACCTTCCACATTTCCCATTTATTCCAATCCAGGAATCGAGGAACCAGCTCCATCCTGACAAGGTCGACCGCTTCCCGCGCCGCTTCGGTGGCACCGTCCGCCAACCTCCTCGCCGCCTCCCCTGCGGCCCCCGCGTCCAACCCCGTTTCCTTCTTCAGGCGCCCACCGAAGCCGGAGAAGAAACGCTCCGATCCGCGCCTCAAGGACCTGGATATGCTCTCCCAGGACTGCCCCTCCGACCCGCCGTCATCCCCGGAGGCCATGGCACGGACACACCTCCTGCCGCAGAGGCGGCCCCATCTGCGACTGGAGAACGCAGGAGACCGCCGCGGATGGAGGAGAACGAGATTCAAGCACCGTCCGCTCCGCCGCCGGCCGAGGAGCGGCGACGTGGGGAGGATCCCCCCGCCGGAGAGGACCTCCATTTCCTACCCGGGAAGGAGGAGGGAGACGCTCACCAGAGCGAGGTTCTGGGTTTTTGCCCACGCTGATAAGGTCCCCCGGGACCCTCGGCCGAGTCAGATGGACCCGCGGTCAAGTCTAAAACTACCACATGGCCGATTCTCAGCCGTTGGTTTCCAATCCAACGGATCACATCGTTTTCAATCCAACCGTTGTCTAAGCCCCTATCTCACATATCTATCATATAAACAAGCGTCAATTAATATCATAAATCTATCACATAAACACGAGTTAATATCAGCAACGACGTCAGCTCAAGTTTATTGATATAATTGAAGAGATGAGAGCCATGAACCACATCATGATGTACATGGGCTTCATCATGATTTTCATTCTTCACAAGTCATTTACAGGCAATTAGGCTAGCAAGTATCATCCCAAGAACATGGGAACAACCAATCCTTCTCTTTAATCTAGATTCCACAGAAATGTGTGATGCTGCACAAGTCCACAAAGTTGATGAATCTTGAGAAGAAGCTAATAGATAGAGGCCCATAATTAGAGACCATCTTGGTGCACTGGAAGCCAAAAAATGAATTGTCAATAATAGTTAAATATCTGTTGGATTTTTATAAAATAATAATCATCTGACATCATAAAATATATTCCAACTAAACTTAGGCTTGCCTGAATAAGGCCAAATCCATCAAGGGCCTCCTGATTATAGCGGTTTTAGGGTTTACTCACCTTGAGGGCAAATTTTTTCTCTCTCATCGCACAAGCTCTTAGAAGAACCTTAATGATTATAATCTGTGAAGGAGTGGAATAGCATAAGACTAAACATATGGGTGTGGAAGCTGAGGTGAGCATCTACCTCCCATGAGGATTACCTGTTTCACCGGATCCTTTATCATAGTCCTCACTTGATGTAGTAGAAGGCGGCATGTAGTGCATCTTCTTGTTTCCCTTAGCTATTAGAGATCATCAAGATAAGTAAGGACAACCTACAAACTCATCACTATTTCTAAAAAGAGATAAAAATATTTAATAATAATAGTAATAATACTTCAAAAAAAGGTTGTGGAAATAAATAGCTAGTAAAGTTTTTGTATGTGTGAAAGGTAATGGCAATCATAATAATCATAATAGTGTACTAGATTCAGCTTAATTCCATCATTTTATGAGATTGATTGCTAACATAGAAATAAAAATGAAAAAATAGAAGAAAAAGAGTATCATGGTATATTCATACCTCAAGAGGAGCTTCACCATATATGACTTTGTCTTCCATGTTGGCAACTTTGAACTCATTTCTTGATTTTCTCAAGGTTAACTCATCTACATCACCCAAACAAGACCTTGTGGTGTTGCAAACATCTTGCTCTTGAAAGAGAAGCTGAAGTGATGGGATTACCATAGTTTCTAGCTCTTCTGCCATTTCGACACACTGATAGGATAGGATGTTGATTATACAAGAATTATGACAAAAATTGATTAAATATAGAAGGGTGAAGAATCATAAAATGGGTACCTTTGAACCCAAATCTGACAACAAGCTAAGACATGCTTTTGTAGATATATTGGCAAATTCATCCATCAATCTTGGATTAGACAACAGCCAATGAACCTTCAAGCAAGATTGGCAGACAATATCTTCTATTTGAGATGTGTGGTCTCCTATTTCATATAAAATTCAGTAAACATTATGTTATACATCATATGAAGATTAAGGTCCAATATTTTCTTATTTATTTGATGAGATCATGAACAAGTTTTTAGTGGACTCCATTTTTTTTCTCTAGATGACATTATTTTAAAAAAAATCATATATAAACTTAAAAATGATAACAAAAATAATAATTTATTTTTAATTTCAGCTTAAAAAATATCTCAATGAGAGACTCATTGACCCCTTTTCAATGTAGTGATCGACAATGTGCATGATTAAGAATGTGAAATCAATATTTTTCCATGCTTACTTCCATCATCAAGATGCAAAGTCATGGATTCATCAATCTTCAAAGCATTTATTTGAGTAGATAAGAGGAGAAGGGAAAATATCAGAAAAGACACCTCCATATAGCCTTGTTGGCTGCATGCAAAACACAAGCATCATCGATTAGATATCTATTCAAATAAAAACTTAGAAATGAAATAAAAATATCAAGAGTTTTTATTGTACCCAAGGCAAGAATAGATGAAAAAGGGCAATCTTGTTTAGGATTTGCTCTTGATTCATCATATGTATATGTATATATATAAACATATATGGGTACCAATTGATCCATCCTTGTTAAAGAGGAAGCTTCATCTCATGAGCAAAACTCATCATCAAGCAATTTTCAGACCATGTGCCCTTTTCACATTGGAATCTAAAATTGTCTAGAAATGGGGAATCTTGGCATGTTCTTGTCTGACCATGATTTTTGATAACTTTGATGAATGCTTTGTATGAAATGCTTGTTATCAATGGGATCTCATAGGAGATAATAGAAAAACCCTCATGAGGTTATGAGCATGTACATTTATCACAAAAAGGTCAAAATAAACATGATTATTGATAATAATCTCCCATTGAGTCAATTTAAATGCTTATTGATCAATAAAATGTGGTTCATATTTTCCTATAAACCCTTTATAAGAGAATATTTGATATTTACTAAAAGCTACTATCCGATTATTTTTTAAAAATTTGTTAATATAAAATCTTAACCACCAATTATTTGAGCAAACTAATGAACTATAAGCCTAGACCCTAACTCAACCTATTTTTTCTTTTATGCTAGGGCTTCAAATTAAAGTTTGGGATGAAAATGCCCATTCTCTATCAGATCCTATAACATACGTATAATAGGGTTCTACCCCAAGATCATGGATTATTTGTGATGACCATCTCTCTCTCTCTCTCTCTCTCTCTCTCTTCATCACAGTTGGAGAAAGGTCAGCCCAGATGCAGCCCATACGTCATCACATATCCAATTAGCTTTTAATCATGGTAATTTAAGAAATTCTGGTACCTAGATACAGCCATTAATTTTTTTTCATTAAAAAAGTTATCTTTACGAGGAAAACATGACAGCTTTACAAGAAATCTTCACCATCTTCTAATCATGAAATGGAATTCATTTAATTTCGTGATGTCTAAGGGTTTTATTTTTAAATAAAAACACCGATTTATGGACGAAACGAGATAGAACAGCGTTGTATAAATAAACGTGCAAATAATAATAATATATATTGAGTAGATCCAAATATCTTTAGGTATTTATTTTTATAGAGGAAAGTTAAAAGATACATAAAAATTCAAATTTGCTTGGGGAGTTAGTTGCCTCCTTTCGATCTAACCACTGGGCAATGCGTCCGACACATGAACCCATTCTCAGCAGCGGCGGCTCTCCCTGCTCGCACCGCCGCAACGGTCCATCCCCTCCCCCGCCGCCTTCTCCTCTCCGGCTCCTGCAGCCTCTCTCTTACCGCTTCCGAGAGAGCGGCGGATGGGTCTTACGGGTCCCTCATCGACTCCGCCAGCCCCCTCCAGCTCCGGCAGATCCACGCCCGCCTCCTCACCGCCGGCCTCCACCGCCGGGGTTTCCTCGTCACAAAGCTCATCCACGCGTGCTCCCGTCTCCGGCAGACGGGGCATGGCCGCCTCCTATTCGAAGGCCATCCCGATCCGGATATCTTCCTGTTCAACGCCGCCATCAAGCTCCACGCCGCCGACGGCGATGCCCCCCGCGCCCTCGCGCTCTACGCCGGCATGCTCCGCACCGGCGTCCGCCCCGACGAGTTCACTATCCCATCCGTCATCCGCGCGTGCGGCGGCGGCGGCGCCGCCGCTCCGGCAATCCAAGCGGTCCACGCGCAGGTTTTTCGACAGGGATTATCCTCCGACGTCTTCGTCCAGAACGGGCTGGTCGCCGCTTATTGCAAATGCGCTCGCTTGGAGATTGCCCGTAAGATGTTCGACGGATTACCCGAGAGAGACAAGGACGTCGTCTCCTGGACCTGCGTCATCTCCGGGTACTCGCAGAGTGGCCGGCCACTGGAAGCCCTGGAGCTCTTCACCAAGATGAGGTCGTCGGAGCACGCCCTCTCGCCGGATTTCGTCGCGCTGGTGAGCCTCGTCAAGGCCTGCGCCGACCTGGGCGACCTCCCCCGGGGGAGATACGTTCATGGGCTCGCCGTCAAGGGCGGGCTCGAGCGGGAGGAGGATCTGCAGATCGCTCTAATGGCGTTCTACGCCAAATGCGGCGAGCTGGGCCACGCGAGGGCCCTATTCGACGACTGCTCCACCCGCCCTCTGATCATGTGGAACGCCATGATCTCCGGGTACGTGAAGAACGGCCTGCCGGAGGAAGCGGTGGAGCTGTTCCACCGCCTGACAAGCTCCCGTCTCCGGCCAGACTCGGTCACCGTGCGGGCGGTGATCATGGCAGCCGCGCAGGTGGGCTCCCTCGAGACGGCGACTTGGATGGAAGCCCTAGCCCGTAGCGGCGAGCTCGTCCTCCACCACGAGGACGCTGCCTTCGTCGATACAGCACTGATCGACATGTACTGCAAGTGCGGGAGCATCGAGCGCGCCCGCAAGGTGTTCGATGGAATGCCTCATAGGGACGTCGTCGCATGGAGCGCCATCATCGCCGGTTACGGCCTCCACGGGCGCGGCCACGAGGCCCTCCACCTGTTCGAGCAGATGAAGCTTTCCGGTGTGGCCCCCAATGACGTCACCTTTCTGGCGGCGCTCTCCGCCTGCGGCCACGCCGGGCTGGTGGAGGAGGGCCAGCGGCTCTTCGCCTGCATGGGAGTCCACGGCGTCGTGCCGCGGCGGCGCCACTACGCCTGCGCGGTGGACCTGCTGGCGCGCGCGGGGCGCCTGGAGGAGGCCTGCGAACTCATCGCCGGCATGCCGGCGGCGCCCACCGCGGCCGCGTGGGGGGCGCTGCTCAGCGCCTGCCGGCTCCACGGGGACGTGCAGACGGGGGCTTTGGCGGCGGCGCGGGTCGTCGCGCTGGACCCCTCCAGCGCGGGGCACCTCGTGCAGCTGTCGAATCTATACGCCGCCGCCGGCATGTGGGGCGACGCAGCCGGCGTCCGCGTGCTGATGAGGGAGAGAGGCCTGGTGAAAGCCTCCGGCAGTAGCGCCGTGGAGGTGGGTGGCCGGCGGCAGGAGTTCCGCTGCGGTGACCAGTCCCACCCCGCGTCGGGGGAAATCTACCAGATGCTGGGGGTTTTGGAGATGGTCTCCAAGGAGGCGACCTCTACTGATGATAAAAGTTATGAAATTCTCTAAAAGGACTTTAAAGAAATATAGATTTTATATTTAATTAATTTAATCGTATGCAGGGGGGATCTTTTAGAATTTTTTAGAAGTTATTTCATTAGAACCCCCAAACAGACTTTATTGTATTCGAGTCCTTCTTGGCACAGCACTATTTTTACAAATAAATATGGTTTTTAATTATTTTTTTTATTGACTCAGCTCGGTTTTATGATATACCCGAATCATTCCCGTATTTCAATATGCATTTTATATTTTTTTTTATTTATTTTCGATTATTTGAAATATATTTTTAAAAAAGATAAATATGCATTTTTATGGTATTATGCCTCAAGCTTTGGTCAGTCTAAAAAGTAGAAAAATTGGCATGGCTTGGATTAGACAACGCCCTCATATTTGCCAAATTGATAAATATGCCCCTCACCAACACTGTGTAGGAGATTATTTATAAGTCATGTAAAAAATACCTTTTTTTAATAATATTAATGTAACATGCATTAGAATCGATTAAAACCTATTTTTACTGGTAGAAAAATAAATAAATATTTTCAAGACGAAAAATGCACTCCTCTTCACATGTTCAACGTGAGATGGGCCGAGAACCGTCAATGGGCCGAGAGCTCCTTGGGAGCGGAATCGGCGGCGGAGCGGAAGTAGCAGCTGCGCGGACGACGCCCGGTCTCCGGCGAGTGACCGGCGGCGGAAGCGGCGGTTGAGGACGGGTGAAGGCCCCCGTGAGCGAGTTCCAGACGAGGAGGGGCGTGATACGGCCGGCGGTGGCGGCGGTGGGGGCGGACTCAGCCGGCGGCGTCCTCGCGGGGCGAATGAGACGGCACTGGGGATCACACAGGGCGGTCGGGGACGGAGGATCGCGGGGGGGAATTGCTGAAGTTCTCGACGGGGAAGAAGGCCCGGGGATAGCTGCGGTTGACGTGACAGACTGAGGGGATAAGGTTGGTGGTGGAAGGGGACGGTAGGGACTTCGCAGCTCGCTGAGAAAAACGGTGAGGAATGCCCTAATATTCAACCCTTTCCCATTTTTTTTACCGGATTGTGATTCCTGTTTGGCTGATTGCATTGCTTCATCTTTAAATGAGTTTTGAAGTGTTACTGCTTTTCCGAAGTCGAAATCCTACTGAAATTTGGAGATTATCATCCCTAAAAACTTTTGACAATAACTTTGAAAGAAACAGAAATTTAAATTTGAAAACTAATGCAAGATTTGAAATGTGAAGTTTCTTCTCCATTAAGTTAGGCTTCTCCCAGTGGTACTCCCATCAGCCCTTCAGCTTGAATCCTCATTATCACGTTTTCGTTATCACTTTTTCCTCTGGTATGCTGTCCATGAGTTATGTTTGTTAGGATCTGTACGCCCACTTTGTTATCTGAAAGAATGAATTCTTCGACCGCAAAAAAATTCACATGTCACAAAGATCAGTGAATACAGTGGCTTGATGTTTGAAAATTCAATGAAAATAATTGAAATAAATCATCTTGATATATAGGACATCTCCATTTTCCAATGATGCCAAATTTTTATGAGTCCCACCATCAATGCTTTTTCCAAAGGCATGCATCCGAATGACTCCCTATTTGGGTGCGAATAACATTGTAGCCTATAAGTGCAACTCATTCATAGTTTGGTAGTGCTGATAAGACTTGGAGCGTGGACTCCACGTTAATTTACTTGGAATATAACCGACTTTTGGACAGTGAACCAGTAGAAGAAGCCTGAATAATCTCAATTTATGATGAAGAAAAGAGGAAAAGATACTTGATCCAGAAAATATCCTCTTGATAAGTGTGGCGAACTTCCCCTGTACAATGTCATTGGTCAATTCTGGTGATCACTGCTAAACGACTCACCCGTGATGTAATACTTGTTTCTATCCTCCTTTTTATGTGAGACTCTTGATGCTTTTTATCTCTGTTCGAGTGGAATTTCTTGATCTAAGAAATTTCAGGAGCCATTTTTTCCTTGCCTTAATTTCCATTTTGTGTGTACTGGCATTTTTTATGAAACCATGATCCATTCTGGTTTTCATTTCATTCGAAAAGTAAGTGATTGAGAGAGAAGTGCTCGAAGACAGTGCTACTTTGCTCTAAAATTCGATGTTTTCAATTCATGGAAAACAAAGAAAAGGATGACGGCTATCTACTATTGCTAGTGACTAAACTGTTGATTTTTCTCTTGTAGTTAGTGACAGAGCCTGTTGTCAGGAAGAACAAGCAAAGTTAAACATAAATGGGAGACGAACCATCGTCAAGTATTGCTCCTAGGAAGGTATACTCTCTCTTTCTCTCCCCCCCTCCCCTCCCACTTGTCTCATAACCACCCCAGACAAAATTTAGCCTCTTTATACTGCCATTTATGTATGTGTTTACAGTTTGCTACCAGAATTTATTATTACTTTTTTTTTGCAGATGAAATTTACTCCAAAGATCCCTCCCCGAAAGCCATCCAAAACTCCAGTGCCTAAACCGTATCTCACTCTACTTGGCTTCATGCAAACTTTTTTCGCTGTAGTTTGTGATTTGTGCTAACATCTCTTCACATTATTTTTACAGAGAAGAAACTGCATCTGAGTTCGGGGATATAATGGATCACAGTTTATTGAGGCTTGTGAAGGTACTTCATGTCGTGGTCATTAGGGTTTCTTTTTGATGGTCATGATTGTGCAGTTGTCCTGTTAATGTCCTTTACTATTCTGTTCTTGCTCATAACGAATTGGTACTGTGGATCAGCAAGCTGAGCTCGGTTCAGGAAGAAGGTCATCTATGGCTGAAAGAAAGGGTTAGTTCCATGAATTTAAATACTACTTTCTGTGCCGCACAAGTCAGAGCCATGATGGCTATTGCTCTGAGCCGCACTTCTAATTATTCGCTTACCTTCTGAAGATCCTATTACCTCAAAGAACTTTCAAACTGCATTTACCATCTCTTAATTTTCCTCACGAATATCTATAATAATGCCATAAGTGGACATTTTTTCTTTCTATTTTAGCCCCCGTCCATTTCTAAACAAAAGAATGAGAAGGTTTTGTGCTTTTATGACTCAATAATTTGATGAACGGGAGATTCAAAGTCAAAACAAAAGATTGGGTTACTTGGTTTTACCTCTCTGAAAGCCACTGGAATTATGGATTGCACATCTTGCTCACGTGGGCATATAGGTGCCCACAAACTATATACCTTTTCCTGTTAACGAACAGAATGTTTTGTTTCCTTTTCTTTACAGAAAATAATGTACCCTTATGTTAAAAAACGTGTTCTAGTGATGTGGGACTTGTGATGCGGTTTCCTCTAATCCAAAATTGAGCCTGTCTCTTGCCTGACTTGCTGGGCATGATAGATGAATAGTGAGAGGGAGAGAGTGCGTGAGGTGAAGAGGCGGGAAAAGGAGAATAGATTTGGGTGTTTGGAACATAAATGTAACCGTAGAAATTGGGATGGCAACTAAATCAAATTAGCGCAAGTTAGGCTTTTTTAGTCTACCTGAATATTAATCAATCTCAAGCATGATTAACTCGGTTATTTTTAATGGAGGAACTAATATTTATATGTAGTTTGTTTATAGAAAAAATAAGGGCTTATCTATGATTCAAATGATTCGTGGGATGGCAAAATTAAAGAACAAAAACAAAGGTTTACTGACGATATATGACTATTCCTTCATACTCCTTCATGTTTTTTACATCAGTGTTTAATAGGTCATTCATATCTTAGTTTTGGTACTGTACACAGTCTTACTGCGTGTGGTGAATTGTATTCTATAGTTATCCTGTTTAAACATTCTCAATAACAGTTCTTTTTTAAATACATTAAATGACCATATATGAAACTTTTATTATTTATGTTATCATTATATATCCCTTATTTTTATCGTTATAATTATTTTTTTTACATTTTATCTTTTTTATTTGCTCATAATTCAGTACCTACCACATTCAAGCTAATTGAATACTGGTGTGATAAATTACTCGAACTGTCTTGCCATTCCATAGAGGATGTAGTTGGGAGTTTTGCTGCAAAAGATCCTGTGGCATAATCTTGCTAAATCATAATTTAAATATCTGCTTCTGTTAAATGTACCCAGATGATCTACTCGCCTTATTTCTCTTGCTTATTATTTATGCAATATGAATGACATAACATGAAGAGGCTTTCATTATGAATTCAGTTTAGCTATTATAACAGTTGAATTCAATGCTGTTGCATAGAGGCTTTTAGCAGTTGAATTCTATTGCAAACAGTTTATCTATTGTAATTTTATAGTCTTTGCTGGAATCCATCTCTTCTGTCAACGGCCCAAGAAACTTAGTTACATATTCATAATGAGTTTGTGCCAGATCTTCCTGGTAGTTAACTGAGAAGACCAATTTCATGATTTTGAAGGACGATCTTATGCAAATTGACAAGGACCTGTGCCTTCCCCTCTGATGAATAGACATATTTACATCTTCGAATGTTAATGGGTTTGAAGGATAAGGTGAACTGTGAATACCGTATGGATAGTCAACGATATTTCAGTGCACTTCATTTCTCGGAAAAAAGTAGTCATGAGTTTGTAGGGTGGCCTTCTCCCATGTGATTGAAGTGCGCCAGTGGCACATCCACGGTATTGTTTATCGGAATATGTCGGTTGTTGGCTCCTTGATGAATGTTTAATAAGACATCCACGTGTACGAACTAGTTTCACCTTCACTCATTCAGTCATGTTTCGAAAAATGCAATAAAATAGTGTGGCAGATTTTGTATCAACACGTCGTCAGAGGACGTTTAGTGGTCAATCTGAGTTACAAGTTATTTCGTGTCACTGAGTCAAAGAATTTCAAGAGAATCTATGGCGAGAACTGACCTCGGTCCATTGCCTTTATTAGATGCTCCAGTCAAACAAATCTACTGGCAAAGAGTGCTTGTTTGTTTTTCTTAGCCAGGTGTTCCTATTCTTCTTATATTTATCAGCCTAAATGTAGTTTGATATTATTTTTTTGATCTTTAATTAATTTTTTCTTTCAGCTGCCTCAATGGAAGTAACGTTTGGGCATACAGAGAGGAGAAGTTCTGCACGGTCCTTTGGTATCCCAAGAACTGGAAATAAATCCCAAGGTCGGACCCCTTTATTCCTTATTTTTCTTTCCCTCCCTAATTTTTTAGCTTTTGGTTGAATCACCTACTGATTTCTTTGAATTTGAATGGCTTTTCCGCAGATGATGGCAATATATCAGCAGCAATACAAGAGAAGAGAGATTACGTTGACCCTTGGGTTCGTTACAGAGCATACATGTCTGCCGCATTCCCCTCCTCCTCAATCTCTCTGCTTTACTGATTTGTCTCGTCGGCACATTCTAGGATTACTGCTCTTACTATCCTGTGACACTTCCCCTGAGGAGACCACACGCGGGGAATCCAGGTCAGTTTGAATGAGCATTTGAGTGAGCCGTTCGGCAGCCATTTGACATAGATTATTTTTCAGAGCTTCTGGATGAAGAGGAGTCTGGGGAGGCCTCTTCAACAAGCATAGAAGAGTATGATGAGAGGAAAGTAGATACGGCAAAAGAGTTAGCACTGGTGGTCCGCGCTCTAACCTCAACCACCATTAGTAATGCATGCAGTCTTTGATGCGAGCTCTCTGTCGTGGATGGCAGGATGGCAATGCAGATGGGCGGATGTTCTTTTTCCAATTGCCTGTGGCTCTACCACTGGGGAGAAGACCTGAAACTACCACCAAAGGCAAAGAAACTGGTGGCAAGATGGCTGGAGTCTCAGGGAATTGCTGCAGTTTAGATGATCTACCAGCTGGGTTTGTGGGGAAAATGCTGGTCTACAAGAGCGGCGTCGTCAAGATGAAACTTGGAGATGCCATCTTTGATGTAAGCGCTCTCCTCTCCTCCAGCAAGCATCTTTTCTTCGAGGTTAAATCGTTCTCATTTTATAATATAAAGTCAATAACAGAGTCAATGGCCAGGTGCTCAGGAGAAAAGCCTGGAAAATGGGTCACCCTTGTTGGATGCCATTAGGGTTTTGGAGAGTGGGGTCGGGGGTATAAAAGGAGAAGAGGGACATGAGGTCGTCACTGTTGTGGGTTTCAATGGTGGTTGGAGCCCAGTGAAAGTAAGGGGGGTATGGGGGGCTGCTGGGGATTGGGTGAAGGGGTAGCAGTCTAATGGGAAAACTGTGTTCAGTTTGAGCAGAGAGCTACCCTAAAATGTGTGAACGGGCTTGTGAACCAGGGCTGTCCTATGCCTAAACCTAGCCCAATACGTCAACCCTATTCAAAGCTCTGAACTTGTTGGATGATCTGAGGCAACCGGTCTGATGCTTCTGATGGGTTCCAATCTACTAAAAGAAGATGGACTTCGACTGTCTGCAGGTTTCACCGGGTTCAGATTGCATGTTTGCCCAGGATGTGACGGCGATCAACACCAAACAGAAGCACTGCTGTGCACTGGGGGAGCTGAACAAGCGCGTGGTTGTGAGACCCAACGTTGATTACCTCCTTAATTCTGTGATACAACTGGATTAGTATCACCTTCTGGGATCTCAATGTCTATAAATGCATGCATGTATAAATCTATGTATCTATGTATCTATCTATGTTTTATGTATGAATGCATGTATATGTTGGAAGGCATACATCTGTTTGCACATCAATTAACAATGTACACAGGGAAGATGAACTGTATGGGGAAATGATCTGCATGCTCATCTGATTTCATCACGGTAGCCTGAGCATCGATTGCACTTCCACAGTCAGTGTTCTTGCCCAGTGTGGTGACGTCACTGCCAACATCTTCAAGCCACAAGACTTCTTGTGGTACTCTCTGGTCGTCTCCCCTTTCTCTGCCAGGTTGAATGCTTGTTAGTGTTGACATAAAGTAACCGGCCAATGTGTTTTAAGTCAACTGCTTCAAGGACTGTGAGTCCAGGGTTTCTAATCCGAGGGAAGGCCTTTCTTCCTCTGTTGTACGCGCAGGCAGTAAGTGGTCTCATAGATCGTTTTTTGATCGTTTCTAATCCAAGGAATTTCTGCTGCTTTCAATCATCCTTGAGCTCTTTGGACTTTGTTTTAATGTCTTATTTTATATCATCATAATAAACGAATTTGCCACTAAGTTTGCCCAGGTTGACTCATCTTGGACTGGGTTGACCCATTTGAGATTGTAATGAATCACAATCATAGGACGGGTCAACCCAATCTTTAAAACAGGTCACTGCATCTCAATCATGATGGCACTCAACAACTATCAATGAATGATTATGAGCCTACGTGACCAGCTTCCCTCTGTTGTCCTTCATAAGTTGTTAGGTTCCTCTTCCACCTACACAGCTCCTCTTTCAAGTGATTCTGATCTCTAGAAATAAATATTCTTTCTTGGCAAGCATTCCTTATATTTTTCTGGATTCTATGCGTCGGTAATTTTTTAAACAGAAAAACGCAGAAAATAGCCATTTTCTTGTCTGCAGAAAATACAAATATAAAAATTTTTATGTTTTTTTTTTTCCCACGAAGCAAGACAGACATACTACCTGGGATGACTCTTTCATGGACGATCGCCAATCACTGCATGGTTCGCATCACACCATCTCTAAATGAGTGTAACAAGTGGTGAAAATCTCAGAGCTTGCTCTTGGGGACGCCGGTGGGTTCCTTTCTGGACTTCTTCTCCACCACCCGGGACATCTGCTTGACCTCTTCCTTTGGGATCATCCGGGGTTGGCTCAGCCAGTGCCCTCCATCCACAACGAACGTCGCTCCATTGACGTACTTCCCTGTCCCCAATTACACCAAATGAGAGGAGCCCTCAAAATTAACTAGGCATGCTACCTCTGGAGAGAGAGAGAGAGAGAGAAGAAAACCCAAATAGAAAACTCAATTTCGCTCCTCATCCGGTTGTAAACTGGTGATGACAGAGGAGGAAGCAAGGAGAAAGAATCTCTGACCTGCATCAGACGCCAGGTAGATGGCGGCCATCGCTATGTCCCATTTCTCGCCCAGCCTGAAGAACGGCATATCCTCCCTGACCCTTCTCCTCATCTCCTCCGGTGCCAGCTTCCTCATCCCCGGGGTGCCTGCAATGGGCCCCGGCGCAATCCCATTCACCCTGATATTATAATCCGTCCCCCACTCCAGGGCCAACCCCCTCGTTATGCTGTCCACCGCCGCCTGCCCACATCACAATCAGAATGATAATTAATCAACATCTTCATTTTTTTTAATTTTTTATATACATAGATTCGTGTTGATGAAAAGATGTATAAGGAAGTCATTACCTTGGCTGCGGAGACGTTGATCTGGTACCAGGCTGCAGTGTAATGGAGGGTGGCGCTGATGTTCAGGATGAGCCCGCCGTCGGAGGGAGCTCTGCCGCCGGCCCCAGCCTTGAGGTACTTGAGAGCTTCGTGGGACATGGTGTAGGTGCCAACGGCGTCGATGTCCAACACTGCGAGAGCCAAAATTTGCAGCAGGAAGATCAGATCAGAAGGATGGAGAGTATGAAATATGCAAGAATGGGGATTCTGATTCTCGAGGGGGTGGTCGCGCCTGTGCGGAAGCCATTGGGGGAGAGCTCCTCCGGCGAGGCGAGGAAGTTCCCGGCGGCGCCATTGACGAGGATGTCGAGCCTCCCAAAGTGTTTGACGGCCGCTTCTAGGACTCTCGCCGCGTCCTCCCGCCTTCGGACGTCGCCTTCCAGCCCGATCGCCTAGATTAGGTAGGAGGCATTTTGAGCAAATTTTTCTCGAGATGCATTGGATTGATCCAAGATAATCATATCATCTCTCGGTTTTCCTCTGGGAGCCGGACCGATCAGTTGAAGGATGGAAGCTGATTAGCCATGAACTACGAGGCTGAAGATTTGTTTATTTATTTAAAATTTGCAGGTTTATTGCGGAAAGGAAAATGCCTCCGAGTGATTGATTCTACTCCGAAGAAGATTAGATTTTCATTGGATTACTCCGGATCTGATTTCCAGGTTTACTCTGGGAAGGAAAACACCTACCGATCGACAGGGTTGGATACGGCTGTAGATCGACCCGAAGTTAGGTTAGCTTCTCGATCGGAATCATCTCGAGCGACAGAGAAGAGAAGAGGCAGAAGAATTGAGGAGGAAAGGAAATTCATCGAATTCTGTGGAGAAGGAGAAGGAAGGAGAAGGTAGGAGAAGGTAGGAGAAGAGTTGAGGTTTGTTTCCCGTGGCATTACCTGGATTCCCTGGGCTTGGAGGGCCGCCTGAGCCGCCTCGACGATGTGCTTCCGCCGCCCCATGATGGCGACAGCGGCGCCGTGGAGGCCAAACTGCGTGGCGATCTCAAAGCCGATGCCGGAACCGCCTCCGGTGATGAGAGCCACTTTCCCCTTCAGCACCTCCGGCCTGAACGGCGATGCCATCTTCTCCCTCCTCTCTCCCCCCCTATCTCTGCCCACTTCCTTCCAGGACTGCAGAGGAGAGAGATAAATGGCTGCGCCTGTGTATGTCTAGAGAGAGAGAGAGAAGAAAGAGAGAGAGATAGAGGAAAAGAGGGAGAGATAGAGCGAGAGAGAGACAGACTGGAGTCTGAGAAAGAGAGCGGGAAGAGAGAGAAGCAGAGAGATAGAGCAAGAGAGAGATCGTTGGTTGTTGGCCTTCGGTCGTTGGTCCGAGAGAGTGTGCCTCTGTCTATGTCTAGAGAGAGAGAGAGAGAGAGAGAGAGAGAGCGTTGGTCGTCGGCCGGTTCTTCTTGGCTCGCCGCCAGTCTCTCTCAGGATTCGTGGAAGTTGCCACAAACTTTTCCCATGGATATTTATTAAAAAGAGTTCAGAATGCATTCCATCTCTTTCTGCAAGCAAGTACACAAAAAACACAGCAAAAAACGAAATAATTAATTCCTGAACTGGCCATCGGGCCTAATAACTCAGGCACTGGGTCCGATTCAAATTCCCCGGCCCATGCCGCCGCTCGGAAACGGAAAGGTCACCGGACCGGCCGTCAGATGGGCCAGTATACGCCGGGTTTAGACGGCACCTATTAATGGGCCTATCATATGGACACAATTTGATTATTGTTTTACATTTTTTTTAAATTCCCTAAAAAAATATTTTAATAAAAATAATACAAATCTGATATTATGCCGGGAATAATGGCGTGAATTAATGTCGGTATTCGGCCGTATTTTATAAGGAGACTAAAAAAATATCCTGCTTGTCGAAAATATCTGAGTGGCCCCCATGTTGCTTACCTGGCAAGCGGTGCGTAGACGCCGTTGAGGACACGTGCCATCCGCTCCTCATGCGAAGGGTAAATATGTCATTATATTAATATAATAAAATGTTTGGACATACCCTTGTTCTATGGCGGGTAAACATTCCGTCCCCGGAAAATGTCTTGTCATATTATCAACTTAAATTTTTGTTGGGGGTTTAAACATAAAAAGTCACCATCCCTGATGCCCTTGCCCGATTGGAAGGATCCTTCTCAATGAAAACCTTGCCAATCCATAGAAGTTCTAAAATCTGGACCGTTAAAATAATGAACTCTTTTCCACATCACCGTTCGCTTCTTGCATCCAACGGCTGTGCGCGGGGCGTGTTGACGCGACCACTCAACTCCGCGACACGCTTTGGTGAGCCTTCCGTTGGGTGGCTATTGACATGCGCTACGCTGCGGAGAGAAGCAGACTCAATGATGCCTATCGCGCTAGCTCATACGGTGTAAGAAACAAACAACTTCGTCATACTTATATGAGCTGGGGGACATAATTGTCCAACGTACTGCGTGCGTGAGTTTCAAAAAGTAGCCCATTTGGCTTCCTTCGCCACGACCCTTCCCACCATTCTCTGTCTCTCTGTCTCTCTCTCTCTTCCTTCTTTCTCTCTTCTTTCTCTTCTTCTTCCTCCTCTTCCTCTGGTCCGCTCTCGCCCAGATCGCCTCAAGGAACCCTCGCCTGGAAGAATTTTCCCCAAGTAATTTCCTTTGCCTCTCGATCGGTGTATTCAGAGGGATTTGTGCTGCTGCTCCGCGCGATTCGCGAAGCGCTCCGCTCCAGGCGGGAGGAATTGCCGTGGTTCGTGTGTCATCGCCCCGATCGTTGGGAGGTTCGTGAAATTCCCTGGATTTTTAGCTGGGTATCCTTTAGGATCTTTGGAAATCCGCCGGTAGAGGGAGGGGGGAGTTGGGGGACGAGATGTACAGCAACTTTAAGGAGCAGGCGATCGAGTACGTGAAGCAGGCGGTTCAGGAGGACAACGCTGGGAACTATGTGAAAGCCTTCCCCCTCTACATGAACGCGCTCGAATACTTCCGTACCCATCTTAAGTACGAAAAGAATCCCAAGATCAAGGAGGCCATTACCCAGAAGTTCACCGAGTACCTCCGCCGCGCCGAGGAGATACGGGCTGTACTCGACGAGGGCGGCCCCGGACCGACCTCCAACGGCGGCGCCGCCGTCGCCACCCGTCCGAAGACGAAGCCCAAGGACGGTGACGATGGCGGCGAGGACCCCGAGCAGTCCAAGCTGCGGGCGGGACTTAACTCTGCAATCATCAGAGAGAAGCCCAATGTCAAGTGGAACGACGTGGCGGGGCTGGAGAGCGCCAAGCAGGCCCTTCAAGAAGCTGTCATCCTCCCTGTCAAGTTCCCTCAGTTCTTCACCGGTCCGTGTCTCCTCTCCTGTTTCTCACTTCTTTTTGCATTTGGGTCCTAAATTCTATTATGAATTTGCCGGCTATATCCGTTGAATTCGTGGTCAGAGGTGTGGTGTTTCATTGTAGTAACTCCGTTTTGCTTTCCTGTCTTGTGTCCTTTTGCTGTAGGATAGTTTTCTTTCTTTGACATCTTCCTCGTTTGATCTAGCTAAGTTTTGCTACTTCTACTGCGAGTATTGGATGTTTGTGAGGTAAAAAGATACGAGACTTGATGTTTAGAGCCTGGGAACTAAACTTCCAACGGGAGAATAAGTGATAATTTCCAGAATTGTCATTTCATTCCCGCGATAACTGAACTTGTTAGTTCATATGAAGTGTTGCCCCTGAATGAATCGACTGGATGAGGTGTTGGATATGGCTTTCCCCCCTCAAAACCTTTAGAGGTGTCCGAATGAGTTGATGCCATTTTTCTCTTGCTATTTAATCCTTGTCCAGTGTTAGCAGAATCTGAATGGGCATTGAGTGTTGTACTGAAGAAGCTATCAGAAGTATGGTGATTAATTGCATGCGTATACTTACGTATTCCATGTGGACCTTCTTAATAGATGGGTTCACATTGATGCTGGTTAAGGTGTTGTATGTATTACATCTGGTTGTATAATACACTTCATTATCTCGGATCAGATGCATCTATGTTGTGAATGTGAACCAAAGTTCAATCATAAACTGGTTCCTCATGTGAATCTTCACTAATTGTAAATGGTCGTAGCAGAAAGAGGTAGATCATTGTGAGAAAGATGTAGCTGATAGAGGTTTCTTAACCCTAAAATGAAAATCCAAGGAGTAGCTTTATCTCTTATTTATCTGAGATGCATGGTTTCTTGATGCGATGTGTTTGTGTACGAAGTGGGTTTTTTCAGGTTGGTATGCAGGTCTGCAGGCTGCAATTCTACATTCTTGAATATCCCAAAAATACAGATAAATTTCGGCATCAAAAGTTATTTTGACAACCTTTGGAACAGAGGTTTTGAAATTTATTTTTTCATACCTTTGGTAGTGTTGAAAGGAGGAACCTAAACATCAGCCATATAACCAGTTGGAGGGTGAGACGTTTAAAAAAAGTGGATTATTCAGCTTGCTTCCTTTGAATTATTGAAAATTGGTGGAAAATGTGGTGCTCATTGAGAATGTGGGAGTGATTGAAAATCTCACCTCTACATTTGCCAAGAAGCAAGTCAAAGAAGCAGTCTGTAGAGCTGTTGAGTAGAGAAAGTAGTCTCTGTATATATTTGTACGGGAATCACAGAATTGGCTTTGCTTTTCTGTAAATATGAAGGACGTTATTCCGTCATGTTGAGGGCTCCAAGCTTAGCATGGCTCAACTGTCTCGTCATATTCTATGGACATTTTGCCTTGGAGGATTCTTTTTGAGGTTTCAATATTATTTGCTTATATGTTAACTCAATTTCTTTTTAATGTCTAACAAATATGATGTACTTACTATCCAAGGAATAAAATATAGTGATCTCCAGCATGGATGTCTAGAACAGCTGGGCTACCATGTCTGAATGGTGTCCCGCATGCACGTGGAATGGTCTACGTAAGATTATTTTTCAGGCCCTAGCCAATAGATCCAATGAACCAGTCATTTGAATCCCAATCAACGAGATTTCTTGATAGGTTACTATATCTTGGGTAATGCTGAGGCTGGGCAATTAAAGTTCTTCAATCCAGAGCTTACCTATTGGTTAATGTAGTGCACATCTCTAACTTCCTTCTTCATGTTGATTGATCGGGAATTCTGTGATGACTTTTGGGGATTCTGTTGATTGAGGCAAGGATTACCTCCCTCCCTTTTTAGTTTTATAGATCAAATTCTAGGCTCCCATGGAACATAACGCTGACAAAAGGGATGCAAATAGTGGAAACTTAAAATTAAAGCAACGCACAAATTTCTTTCGAATGGTTTATTAGATAAATAGGGGTAATATGCAGGGGTTGCTCTTTTTCTCCAGGCAGTACATTGCTGATAAATCAAATTTAAACATTTCGATATTGTTTGTTTTCGCCTCCACCAACAATGCTTGGAGCTGGCTATTATCAATTGAAATTGTTATATTTCACTCTTTGATTCGGTATATATCAAACAAAATGGAGCAGCTTCATTAGTAAGTTTGAGCATGAGTTAGAAGGATTGAACACTGATTCCTTAACAGCGAGATAGTTGGGGGACCCCTCCAAATTAACGATTTCCTGTTTGCTCTTCTATCTTTAATCTATCCTAAAAGTCCCCTGGACAACATTGCCAGGATAACTGATGTCATCAGAAGCTCTGTTTTCACAGAGGAAGGATCCAAGTTAACAAAGAAATGCTCTCATTGAGATGGGGTAAGGTGTGGACGAGAGAAAAGGTGCCATGAGCCTTGTTATCGTTGCAGATTTTGACTTGGGCTTAATTTATTGATGTGTATATGGAGAAAACGAGGATTTGGTGTGGGCGAGAATCATGAGATATAAATGCACAAAAGTTTAAGAAAAGAACATTGCCCAACTTTCAAATTCCAATATCTTCCTATCTTAAGAAACACAATGAAGATGAAAACTTTGTGACCCTCCCTGCTCTTCTGTATCTTTGAAATGACAGATCTCCTGGGTTTGAGAGGATCAATAGTAGTAGGGATCGGCTTTTGCCATATAGATTTGTCAATTCTTATCTACATTCTAAAGACAGGCATATCCACTGTGGATGTTTTATCATTCAAGCAGTCAAAGTTGGAAACTTCATTTCGATAGAAACACTGTGACCATGAAAATATTATAATACTACAATTAGTGGTGACCATCATCCAGCTAAACAACACAAGGGTGAGAAACAGAAGTAGAAATGGACTTTTTGTAATGTGGATTTGTGGCTAGATCATACGTTGGTGTTGCTGGAAGAAGCTTGTTTTTGGAAATATAGAAGTGTATGGTACACCTTATCAGTGTTATTTCCCTGTACTCTAGAACGACCTGTAACAGCATCATGGTTCCACTGAAACTAAGTCATAATGGTAATAGACCAATGGAGAAGCACTGCGGAAATTAATGGAAGAGGAAGAAAAACGAGCGCACTAAGATGCTAATGTTTTTTAAAAAGCCTAATCTATTGAGTCCTCCCTAAATCCATTATTCTTCTAGAACATTTTAGAGAAACTAGGAATGTTGTTTTTCCCCACATTTCTCCTCCCTTATCGCATTTTAACTTTGGAACTTTTGTTTGGGTGTTTTCCAAGCCTTTCCTCACATTTTTATACTAAGGATAATGAGAACCTTAGCACATGATAAAATCGCCCAAGTATTGTACCTTTGAGCTCAGATGACATCTATGAGCCCACTCACAAAACCCGACATTAACGCAATATTGACATGATTCCTTTACATGCTAATGTCGGTTTTGTTATCACATCAACACTACCTTCACAGGTTGTTTAAAACTTTTTAAAACATTGACTGACAAAACCAGTGATGACAATGTGGATGGGCATTGATCTTAACTTGCCATAACACCTTCTGTTTTTTGTACACTGCCTGAGAGTCAGATCCCTCTTGTGCGGATAATCATTCATTAACCTGATTTCAGGTACGTATTCTACCTAAAAATGAGCAATGAGAAAGTGGGATAACATAGATCATTTTCCTGCGACAACTCTAGATTTCGCAAACTGGCTACATGCAGCTAGATTTAAATAAATCATTCTCCTGTGAAAAGTTTAGCTTCTCAGTTGTAGTTCCGAGGAGCATCCGACATCCGTTTTATTTTATCCTTGTATGTTTACAGGCAAGCGGCGACCATGGAGAGCATTTCTTTTGTATGGTCCACCTGGAACTGGTAAATCATATTTGGCCAAGGCTGTTGCGACAGAAGCAGAGTCGACATTCTTCAGGTTACGATGACTGTTAGTGCATATTTCAGCAAACTAAGTGAAAATGTGGAACGTCTTAAGCTACTTGCCTATTCTGCTGAATTTTTTTTCGGGAGCCAGTATCTAATTTATTATTTCTCTATGCTTTTAGTTTCATTTTTCTAGTTACACATATATCTAATTGGTGTATATATGGCTGTGACAGTGTATTTAATATAAGTAAAAGGGCAGCATTTTTTAATCCAAAGTGGGATGACCATTAAATCTGTTTTGAAGAAATTTGGTTATCGGAGTTTAGGTTCACTTTTCTATTCATGGACATTTAAAGAGTTGAAAAAGGGATGGCTATATGTTCTAGTCACGGTTCCTATAGGACATGTACCAATGCATTTTACTTTGCGTGTAGAATTCACAACTTTTCTCAGGACTCTGTTGACTTTCTTTTCTTCAATCCTCTTAGTTCGTGAGGAGATCCTGGGATGGTACTTTTAGTGTTTATCAGTAGATATGAATAAATGAAGTATTTCTTGAGCAAATGTGCCCGTACAATTTACAGGGTTCACCCCATAGATATTAATCAAAACCAGTGATTTTCTCTTTTTATTGCCTAGATATCTGGGAAAATGTTTATATTCCGGTGGTTGCCTGGTATTCAGTTGCCAATATCTAGCAATTAACGTACGGCATGCTGTGCTAAAAGAAATAAGAAAAAATTCTTATATGGTTTCTGAATTTTTTGAATAACATAACATGTGCAGTGTAGTCAGGATGTAATGGATGATGACATCAATATGGTGGAATATTTGTTAGCATACAAAGTTCAATGTACTCGTGCATTTCTTGCTGTGCTTGCAACATACATTTATTTCACACCATTATTTTTTCTTATTCTAGTCATATACAAGTGGATATGCGGTATTATTATGCTCACGATTGTGGTTGTCAGGTGTGGCCTGTAAATTAATTAGAGTGGAAGGTTTTGTTGTCAATGCAGCATTTCTTCTTCAGATCTCGTTTCCAAATGGATGGGTGAGAGTGAAAAGCTCGTTGCCAACCTATTCCAGATGGCCCGTGAAAATGCTCCTTCCATCATTTTTATTGATGAAATAGATTCCTTATGCGGTCAGCGTGGTGAAGGGAATGAAAGTGAAGCCTCTCGACGAATCAAGACAGAACTACTTGTACAGATGCAGGTATTCACTGTAACATTTGTGCGCTTTTCAGTTTCCTTTTTAACGCGAGATTTATTTATTTTTTTATCTAGTCCTGATTCTCACTGATGCTTTTTTTGTTGATGATGGGTTAGTCATAAAGGATGTAGCGGATTGTTACTAATCTGAGCGAATTCTTTTTGTGTCTTCTTTTCCTTTCATGGTTATATGTCAATTTATCCAAACCAAAGGAAAAGGAAGTGCCAAAAGAATTGGGTTCGTTGTGGGAATAGGGCATTAATCCATAATGGTTTGTCTGGAAGAATGCAGTTTTAGCTTTGACAATTTTGTGGAGCATACTCTAATACCGTTGATGCTGGGTGTTAATTGTAGAATATTTGAACCAAAGAAGATTTAACGAAGTTTATGGGAAGAAAAGGGCGTGGATTGTGTAGGGTTTAAGCTGAGACACCTTATGAACTTGTAGAATAAGATGCATTAGATAACTTTTCTAGTTTTCCGAACATAGGTATAGAGTTTTGGTTTTTCCTTTGGATTGTTGTTCGCGTATGGGTTACACAGGATAGAGCGAATCGTATTACTACCTTTAGAAAAGCCCGTCAAGGAACAAGCTAACAAAATTTCATGGTTGAAATATGTGAATCTATTCCAGTGATTGCTAATTTGTTTAAATTCGGTATCCCAAAATTTTCGCTTGACATGACAACATATAATGGTGATCATGGGGCGCTGCTGAGGTTGTTCAGAGGACTTACTTTCCATTTGATGGATAACTATTCAAGCTCTTTCTACTGAACGTTTTTTCTAAAACTTTGCTTGAATGAAATTGGTTAATGATTCAAATGTATGGGGGCAAGATGTCATTGCTGAGTGCTACCTTGATGCTGAATTTGGCACTCCGATGCGTACTCAGTTCCCTGGAGATAGACTCTGGTTTGGAAATCTGTTTTATTCTTGGTGACGAAAAGAAATAATGTGATGCAATAATTCTTTGGGATTTTTGAAGTGAAGTTGTTTCACAGACTTTGGGGGGAAAATTGTGCAAAACCGGAACAGAGGGTCTGTTTTCTTCTTCAAGAACTATTGATCGGTGGGCCTTACTGCGTTTGTTCAATGTTTCTGCTGCGACCAACTTGGCTAGAAGCATCTGATCTATAGTGTTCAAGACAGGAATGATTATCAGAAATATTTCCTTTACTAGAAATTAGTGTTTCAGTGTAAAATTTTCCAACAGTCATTTTTTTTGTTGTTGCCTTGCCCTCATTCAAATGGCCGTCAAATTAATGCGCACAAGTTTTTCAACTTGCAGGGAGTTGGAAACAACGAACAGAAGGTTCTTGTGCTGGCGGCAACGAATACTCCATACGCTCTCGATCAGGTTCGATTTAGGCAGAACCCATTGGATGATATCTTATTTTCTCAGTTCTATTATCAGTTATCTTGTCCCTTAGTTTTATTCCCACTGATTTCCAGGCTATCAGGCGGCGCTTTGACAAGCGAATCTACATCCCCCTACCCGATTTGAAGGCCCGGCAACACATGTTCAAGGTACTGTTTCTCCCTGGTTACATCCGACTGCTTCGTGACCTTCGATCAAGTGGGGTTGATCGAGTTCAACATCTGTCTGTCTGTCTGTCTGTCTGTCTCACGAGCTTGCTTCTGGTGCTTGTCCTTGAATTCTGGGTCTTTGAAGAAGGTGAAGCGGCTACTCTGATTTCTCCTTGTCTTCTGAAATGCAAACAGGTGCATTTGGGGGATACGCCGCATAATCTGACCGAAAGAGACTTTGAGAACTTGGCCCGCAAAACAGATGGTTTCTCGGGTTCTGACATAGCCGTTTGTGTGAGTTGCCGATGATGTCTGGTTCTGAAATATCCCGCCTCGCCTGCCTCCTCCTGAATATAAAAAAAAATAAAAATCTCTCTTTTTTCGTTATTTTCTATCTTTGGCAGGTCAAGGACGTCCTCTTTGAACCCGTGAGGAAGACCCAGGATGCCATGTTCTTCATAAACACGGAGAACGACATGTGGGTCCCTTGCGGGCCCAAGCAACAGGGTGCCATTCAAACCACAATGCAGGACCTCGCTGGGAATGGCCTCGGCTCCAAGGTAACACCCTCCCCCCCCCCAATCCACCTGGCCCAACTTTCTATGCACAGTAAATATGATTACTATTATAAGAATTATATAATAATTATATAATGGTATAATTCGCGTGATGGGTCTGCAGATCCTGCCACCACCCATCAGTAAGACCGATTTCGACAAGGTGCTGGCTCGGCAGAGGCCAACGGTGAGCAAGGGCGATCTCGAGGTGCATGAAAGATTCACAAGGGAGTTTGGTGAGGAGGGCTGATGAGGGTTTTCATGTGTGTGCGTCTATCCTCGTCAGAGAGAGGGCGGGGGGGTCTCTTTGTTGGGGATTCCTGTGTGAGGCCCCCCTCTGTTATTCTCTCTCTCTCCCTCTATCTCCACATAATTGGGAGAAAATTGTACCGTGGAGTATGATACATATATGTAGAGAACACCTTTTGCGATATTTATATATATATATATATCTATATCTGCATCTCCCTGGGTTGGCTCCTCCCTCTGGTAGCTCCCTTGCTCGTCTAAAGGGCATGACCTTTTTGTGTCGGTTTTCTTCTACTTTTCTTTCTGTGGAACTGTTCCCCTCCTCTCTTCCAGATGATCAAAGCGTCCGTTCATCAATTGATCTCTCTCTCTCTCTCTCTCTCTCTCTCTCTCTTTAGCTCTCTCTCAATCTTCCTCCTCTCTCCACTGCCCCTTCTCATTAGGAACAATGAAAAAGATAAGAGAGAGGCATCCACAAAAATGAGCCGCAGTAAGTGGGTGAGGCAGGATTGTCTCATATTTTGTTGCTTTATTCTCGGTATGTCAACATCGCCCTATTATCGCATCATTTTATATGGATCGTATTTTCTTTCACTAATTAATGAAATTGATCATATGCATGCATATAGAAGAACCCGTTCTCAGCACTTATTTTACCAATATTATTATGTCAGATTATCATTAAAAAACCTAGGACCACTTACGGCTAGGAAGATATTCTTGTACTGTAAAGACGAATAAAATCATTGAAATAATGATGGAATACATCGCATATATTTTCCATATCTTGACATAACGGCCAAGACAACAATAAAAGCGCTCATCCACTATTCAAATAATTTTCTGCAGCGACCTAAAGCCAAAGAACCATTCTGAAGTGAAATCTATATGCTTAAAGCTTTAAGAGAGTGGACGGCCTGCTCCTGCTACTGCTGCTTAGTACTCTTTGAAACCCAGAGCTAGAAAGTATTGGTTGCTTTCTAGTCTCATCTCCCACGGCTAGCCCGGCAGAGAGCTGTATATCCTTCCGGGACCCGACCCTTGATTGTCTGTATCCTTCGTTCTCTCTTCAGGGTTTCGTCGAACTCGGAATGGGCAGAAAGCTCTAAGTCGAGGCATGCGATGAATTATTAGGCCCGGATCTCTGACACCCATGCGGTTGACCATGCACTGAAATATATATACGAGTGTAATAATATATATGACCAGACAAAGTCCTAAAAGTAGACCTAGCCAGACTGGGCACGGATCTTCTGAAGAGAGGTTGTGGTGTAGAGAAGAAGACCTGGAAAACCTGCACCCTGTGAAACCCACCGCTCACTCAGCTTGTCAGTAAAGAGATGGTTATGGAAGAGAGGCCGCGGCTGCTGCCACAACAGCCTGAAATATATTTACATGTGTAATATATATGACCACACAAAGGTCTGAATGTAGACTTGGTCAGACTGGTCATGGATCTTTTTAAGATAGGGCGAGGTGCAGAGAACACCTGGAAAACTTGCACCCTCTGAGTGACCCAACGCTAACTCAGCCTGAAAGTTAGTGTAGGTTACGGAAGCGAGGGCAGCTGCCACACGTGGGAGGCTACTGCCACAAAACGGTGTTCTTGCGGAGGGTAGAGATTGAGAAGGCGAGCAGGTGGGTACTCCATTGCCGGATTTAGGGAACTGGGCACCCGAAAGGAGGGAGCTTTGTGACGGCTCCGAATCTTGAAAGACCTTCTATTCCCATTCGGGACCGCTTACGAAGTTTCAGATGGATGCTCCTCGTGGGCGGCGCTTCTTTCCCGGCGGATAGGGGGGAAGCATGCGGGAGGCTGCGCGCGCGGCGGCGCCACCCGCCCGCGGGGCCGCGCCGCCACGTGGGGGTGGGCACAGCGGCGGGGAAGATCCTCCGGGGGATCCTCTCGGCAACGTGGAGAGCGTTGTTGACGCTCCCCATATCAGACAAGGATAGGCCTTGTCGGTCTCCACCTCCAAGAATCGTTTCGAATCACCTCTCCGCCCTCGCTGGAAGACGGGTGTCAGGTCCTCCGCGTGGCCCCCCTCATTCCCGTTGACCTTCTTCCCTGTTTTAAGCCACAGAGGCATTTCCGGCTTTACGTTCCTGAAATTCCGGACTGACGAAGTTGGACCTTGTGGTGTGAGAACGTATGTTGTTCTAGTGCTATATCTCTAGCCAGAGTTGAAAGTCTCGGGGGCAGACGCACACAGAGAGAGATGATGATCGCAACGTCTACCCATGCTTATAATAGCCTTATGAAGATGGAGCCGACTATATAATTAGTTCTCTACACAACACCAGAAATGCTAACGTTTTCAACATTTCTCATTCTTAAGAGGATTCTACAACATCCTAAGCTCGACGCCGCTCTCAACTCTTAGACAATGCCGAGCAAATATAAGACAAGACATCGGGTTTTTAGATTGTTCGAAGCCGAGCAAAAACGACGAGCCTCGAGATTTGGCGTTGAAACGAGGTTTGTGCGGGGTAGAGAATATGATAAACCGATTTGTATCGCCCCGATCCTACGTACAAAAAAAATATGCGGTTCTGATCTTCATGCGGCTATTTAGGAAGTACGAATGGTAGCTTAGGTCTTCCATACAAGTTTTAAGAACCAACGGTAGGGTTGGTCATTCCTCTCCGCCTATTTTAGTCATTTTTTACCCGCACCCGGATTGTATAAATTGGAGTGATCTCTTTCTGTTTAGAGAACAAGAGCATACATACATTTTTTAGTAGTAGTATCTAACTACTACTAGCAGGGGGGTAGCGGCGACGCGGAGGAAGATTCTCTAGGATTCCCGAGGAGGGTTCGAGGTAGTATCCTTGTCTTTATCTTTATTTTTCTGTGGATGACTCTGATTCAGTACTCTTGTTTCTGTGGTCTCCGTCGTCCTTTCCGTCACGTCAATGGAGATGGCGGCGAATAATTTTCCTGGTATCAATGATGGTTACGCTCACATACTGAGCATGCTGGAAAGCGAGCTTCTTGAAGACCCGGAGAATCACCTGGACGACCGGACGCTCTGGCGGAGGCTCTCCGCCGCCAACCCGGGGATGAACCCAGAGAACCTGGAGGCGCAGTTCCGCGCCGTTATGGCAGAGAACGGCGCTGCTATGGCGGGCGTCTACCCCTTCCCAGGTTACCTCGATCCGCAGACGCAGCAGACGCATCAGACGCAGGCCGTGGTCATGGATCAGCAGCAGCAACAGTATTTTTACCCACCGCCGCTTCTGCGTCCCCCTCTCGTCGCCGTTGATCCCGGTATCGTCGAGTCCCTGAAACAGGCGCTACCGAGTCGCCACACTACCAAGAACACCACTTGGTCGGATGAGGAACACAGGTCTGCGTTGTGTAGCCTCCGATTGCATGCTGTCCGTTCTTAGATTTTTTTTCTTTTTTTTCGTATTTCTTGTCCCCAACCTTGGACTTATCCTCCTGCAAAGGCCGCATGAGATGTCTAACTGCTTCTGTTCTTTTCTTCTCTCTTGCATTAACTTGGTTTCGTTCTCCATTCATCCCCTAGTTCGGCTGTTAAGACTCCCTCAACAGACCCTTTGTTCTTGTTTGATTTTCTCCAACTTTATTTTCAGATGACTGATCTTCGGATTACATTTTCTCTCTTTCCAGTCCTTAATTACAATTCGCATCACTCTACTTGTCAACATCATGAGACTCGCTCCTGAGATTCTTCGGTTTTTTCCGTATTAAGGACTACGGACATAACTACAATTCTCCTCTTTCATTTTTCACCCATGTTCCCCCCAGATATAATCTTAATAATTGAATTGAATATAGAAAAATCATTCAAATCAGTCGGGTTATGTGAGTATGATGAAGAATATTTATAGCTTGACCGTCACGAGAAACCAGCCTGTTGGGTGTAAAAGGTTGAAGCTGCCGTGAATCACCAATGCTCGACTTTGTGAACTGCAACCTTCCGTCTTCTTCATGTCGCAGAGAAACCAGGAGATCATCCTTATCTTCATATCGCCCTTGAAGCTGAGTGAGTGTCTGGGGAAAGTAACCGTATACAGATAGAAAGAAAGAAACCCATTAATTTCTTGGTTTCTAAGGATTCGTCTCATTTGGACCTTGTTCGGAAGAATGAGGAAAGAATCTGACCCCAAATGAGAGGACCCCTCACAGAGTAGATTGATATGTGGAGGCATGCAACTCCAGAAGTCCATTCATCCAAGAGGGAACGTGCAGCTGGATCCCAGGCTTCGGTTGATGCCATGTGTACTGACCGACCCAGTGACGGTAAACTTGCAATTTCTAATGATTTTTCCGAGATTGTCGTCTCTCCTAGTCCCGCATCCTCCGCTCTCTTCCCCTTTTTGGTAAATTTCATTGGAATTTTTGGTTTGATCGGACATCCATCCACAGATGTGAAAATCTTTGAACGAATCGCGAAAAAAGGTATTCACAAGCTACTTATTTAGCTCATGGTACTCTTTCAACGCCATTAATTCTACAGAAACGGTGAAGATCGAACTATTTACGGTCCTCGCATGATGTTGTGCTCAGTTACCGGTGAGCACTGCGGGAAAGGTTTCATGGCAATCGATGCAAACCACCCTTTTGGCCGAAGTTGCTCACTGATCGCAAGACTAACGGTGCTTCAACTATATTCCATCCTGTTTCCACAGGCTGTTCCTCCTGGGAATGGATCTTCACGGGAAAGGAGATTGGAAGTCCATTTCCAGGCACTTCGTTGTCTCGAGGTCACCCAGCCAGATCGCCAGTCATGCGCAGAAGTTCTTCAAACGCAACAAGATCACCTTGAACGACCGGCATCAGCCGAGTAACCTAGACTTCGCTGCTCTGAACCACCTTCTTCAACAACCCGGTGGGTACATATTCAGCCATGGAAGGATCAACGAGCTCAGCCAGCTGCTGCCGCCCCTGCACAACATGTACACTCCCAACGCAGGATTATCCTGTTCAGCTCAGGTGTTCCGCTACAGCTTTCTGAAGGGAGGAGACGGACGATAGGATCCCTCTCTCGTAGGTGGGTCTTCGCCGTCTAGCTTGAGTTGGCGTTTTTAAAGAGGGACTGTCAAGTAAGTGATGCTATGAAGGGGAATGGTGGTGAGAATAAGGTCTCTGACCATTTGAATTTCTGATAAATGATGCACCTAGCAACTCTAAATACCCAGTTCGTAATATCTATTGAAAGATCATATTTTTAAGCTACCCATCCACATTTCTAAACACAGTAAGCATCTTGGTCGCCACCCACCCGCCGTCTTCAGCATAGCAGACATTTGCATATCCTTGCTCTTCGCGGTTATAAGGGCAGAACCTTTTCCCTGTCGCGCAGTGTAAGGATTGAACTCCGAAAATTAGATTTAATTGATAGAAAAAAAGGAAGAGTCACACGTAAATTGATATAGTTCAATAACCATCGCATTAATGACTAAGTTTCTTCCCTGCCGGTTGCCATGCTCAACCTCCACCTCTTCCACATCCTCGCGGAAATTGCATGAAAGCTTAAGCTGTAGATGAAAGTACTGAGTGAAGACTTCATGTGGTAGTTAACCAAATGTTTTATAACATAAGAAATAATATTATATTAATTTAATCATTTTTTGGGTTTGTTCTCTTGTTGCGCCTGCAATGAACTCCCAAACGGTGCAGTCTTCAAGTTAATATTCGGGTTTTTCGTTTGCAATTCAGTACGTCCTGCGCAGAAAAAAAATGTGACATTTCCCATAATCTTTTGGTTCCATCTTGGATTGTCCTTAAAAATTATATTGTTCGAAAGATTAATAATATCTCAAATATTACTCATGTACTCATACATATGACCCTTTATTTTTCTATCTTGAAAGGAAACCGATAATCTTACCAGTGATATTTTAAAGATTCCTTAGAAAGTCTGACAAAGATCTATTGCGTTCAAACGACACACATCTATGTAAATTTGTATTTTACAGCAACCAAAAACCTCGACTATCCCTTAAATAAGCCCTTAAATCACAAAATATTTATGAATAAGTCGTAGTCATCTAATTTTTTTATTATAATCATTTCATTTCTTCGAATTCAGAATTTCCACTATCTACATGACAAGTTTCCATATGACTCTTAAGATCTGTACTATACCATTTTTTATTGGCACTTCCTTTTCCCTAATTTCGTATTACAAATAATGTATAATTTTCAGATGCAATAAAGTATTCATTGATGCTTCAAATTTTGAGTCTCTTTTGCAAACAGTTAAAATTTTGGATTTATAAAATCAATATAATTCAAATTTTCACTTATTGATTAACTGGGTTTGATGCTTTTCAACAAAAATCTGATTAAGAAAATTTATATTTTTACCAGTTCCCATTTATTTCAGTTTATTCATACGAAAACTAAGTTAAATAAACTGAGTTTTCTGTGCTTTGCCTCCATATTTAGCATTACTATTTTAAATTAAAATAGGAGGAATATCATCGATGACATCATATAAAAGGGATATTTTATTTTCAAAGATATAAAAAAATTATCAATTTTAAATCCAGTGTATTTGTTAAATATACATTTTTTTTTTTAAGGAACCTCCCTGGCTATACAAAGACAAGCATGCAAAAATCCTGGAATAGTAAGAGGGACATGTATCTTTGATAGTATAGTTAACCATCCCAAAATTTCATTTTGAAGAGTTTATGCATTGTCAAAGCGATTTAAATGGAACTAAAATGGCTATTCAAAAGATTATTTGTATTTGTAAAAGTTAAGGACTACTAGTTGTTCTTGGTTGTAGGAAATATAAAAAATGAAGCAACTGATCATAGGAGTTAACAAGTCAAAAGAATTAGTTGTATGGAATAGGAGACAAATTGGGGGACCTTACAGTCCCATTTAAGTAATTAGACTCATTTTCAATTTTACTGTGTGGCTGCACCACCAACCCTTTTAAATTTCTAATTTTTTTTTGTATCCTCATCAACTTTTGAGGTATAATTAGGTAAGCAATTTTTCTCATTGAAATGTGTGAAACTATACTTTCCAATTGTGAGCAATATTTTGCTTTTCCCTAGTCAAATTAAGTTCACTGAGAGTGAGAGGTAGATGGGGGTTCCAACTAAAATGAAAGAAAAGCTTTAATAGATATTACTCATTGGTTAAGTTTCTTGGTGATAAAATTGTCAATGTTAAAGGATCATGTGCTTTAATTATAGAATGACTTCAATAATATGTCAAAGAATTGATAGCTTTGGGGGCTTAGAGTAGGCTACAGGAAGTCTAAATGTGTTGGAATACAAGAGGCAAGTGGATGGAACTTGACCTCTTAAGAAGTCTAAATGTGTTGGAATACAAGAGGCAAGAGTAGGCTCCCTCTTTGTTTAAATTTTGTTCCAACTTTCAAGCAATGATCATTTCATAGGGTATATAATTTTTTACTTTTGAATAAGTTTCAAGCTAATGAAAACTTAATATTCAATAAATGAGAGGTTTAAATTGCACAATATTGCAGTATATCAACATTAATATTTCAATATATTAAGTTTACATTAAATAATAATCTAGTACATGAGAGTTGATATTTTAGTATACGAGAGGTTTGTGTTGTAGAATAGAGAAAAATATGAATGACAATATTTCAAAATATAAAGTTTACATTGCAGCAGAATATAATTTATTAATATTAAAATTTTAGTATCTAAGAAGTTGTGTTATTAGCTACTGGAAAATATCAATGTTGATATTTCATTCTATTAAGTTTACATTGCAAAACATCATGGTACATCAATGTTGATGTGTGATGTATTCAGGAGTTATATTGTCTAATAGAATATGCTAGGTTTAAAATGTCAAGTATACAAAGACTTAAACTGTGAAGTAAAAAGGGTATATGAAGCTTAAAATAGTAATTTCTGAAGAATAATGTAGTGGCACAAAGGACCACATCAATCTTAATATGTTGATACATTAAGGATTGCGTTGTAAAATAGCAAAGCATATCATTCTTAAAAAGTCAATATGTTCTAGAATAGTGGATTAAGCCAAGCTGAATTCTTGAGCACATGGAAATAAATTATAAAAAATAGAGATTTAATTTGGAAGTTGTTCATACAAAACTTACGTTAGCCCAAGAGAATTACATTGTTTGACAATATAACATTTGAAGTATAATAGTTTAGTACATGACTCTCCTTTTAGTTATTAGTCTTTATATGAAGTTTAATACAAACTAATAATAATAGAACGGAAGGTATCTATTGGAATTGTTGCCTTGTCGATGAACACTGAAAATTTGATATAATTGGTACGGAAAGTCAACTCAGGCGAGTGGCGGCACGAGTAGTTGACTTTTCAGGATTAATTTTACTGATGCATCTGCGTGCACATGAGATCTGGGCTGCTTACGTGAATCGAGAACCCAATGACGCGGTATCATACAATCTGACCTGATCAGAGAGAAAGTCAACTCGAGAGAGTGGAGGCACAAGCAGCTGACTTTGCAGGGTTAACTTATAAATTGTCCTCGTCCTTGCATCTGCATGCACCTGAGATCTGGGCTGCTTACGTGAATCGAGAACCCAATGACGCGGAATCAGAGAACCTGATCCGATCGCTGACCACAGTGAACTCGGGCGAGTGGCGGCACAAGCAGTTGACCTGGCAAAGTCAATTCTATTGATGCATGGAGCCCGCCATTGTGGGCGGGGTGGGGCCCTCTACGAGTCTAGGTAGGTGTAGGTGTGGCCTACGAGAATTGCCGCTCTGCGGGTGACGAGAAGACGGTGGTTTTTGGAAAACGCATCCGCTCAGAAGCTCGCGCACAGAAGGCGACGGCGCCTCCTCCCCTCTGCTTCTGGATATCGCGGTGGAAAAATTGTGAGGGGGGAAGGAGCTTTAGGAGGTCAGCTATGGCGTTAGCGGCGGCGATGCCGCATCTTCCGGCACTGGGTCTCCGCGCGCGGTGCTGCGAGGACACGCTCGGCAGGCCGCGTCCTCAGCGGCTGGCCAGCGACTCCGCAGGCCTCCTCAACCTCTTCCCCGAGAAGATCCCCATCGTCGGCCCTCCGGTTCCTCGCCCCCGTCGCATCATCCTGGTCCGCCATGGACAGAGCGAGGGGAACGTCGACGAGAGCATGTACACCCGGGTTCCTGACCCCCGCATTAGTCTCACCGCGAAGGGGTGGGAGGACGCAGAGGCCTGCGGCCGCCGGATCCACGAGCTCATCCTCAGCGACAGCGCTGACGACTGGAAGGTCTACTTCTACGTCTCCCCCTACAAGCGCACTCTGGAGACACTCCGGGGCATCGGGAAGGCGTTCGAGCACGAGAGAATCGCCGGCGTCAGGGAGGAGCCGCGCTTGCGAGAGCAGGATTTCGGTAACATTACCTATCCCCCGCATCTTCCTCCGCCGTTCGAATCGAGGTCCGCTCCAATCAACTTCGAACGAAGAAATTCTCATCAATCGTGCTTTCTCTGTCACCAGAATCCTGGTTTAGAAGCTTTCTATGGCACTATTCACAGCATAAACACCACGACGATGAAATTCTTCATCATGTTCTATCGGCGAGAAATCTAGCCAGTTACTGACATCTTACTATCTGATTATCCCTGCCCTGAAGTCCATCTACGCTCTAGTAATGCCGCCTCCAAGTTCTTCAGGGTTTTACAGTCTGTGTTCATCTGTAGCAGATCCACATTATCTTCCTTCCCAGCGGATCCGTCCAGCTTGCTCACTCCATCGCAGAATGGCATCTGACAAATGGGCTGATACATTCGATCTGACAACATGCTTTTCTTCAGGGAACTTCCAGGACAGGGAGAAGATGCGGGCTGAGAAGGCAATTCGCCTTCGATACGGCCGGTTTTTCTATAGGTTCCCTAATGGGGAATCTGCTGCGGACGTTTATGACAGAATTACAGGTATTCTGGGACCCAATATAAGGAACTCTAGGCACATTTTTCCTTCATCAGAAAAGAAAATCATTTTTTACTTGTTATATGCCTCCTGGTTTGTTCATCCAAGTTCTTATTTCTGCAGGGTTCAGAGAGACACTTCGAGCAGACATTGACATCGGGCGCTTCCAGCCACCCAGTGAGAGGACTCCTAACATGAACTTGGTGATCGTCTCCCATGGATTAACGCTGCGTGTGTTCCTGATGAGGTGGTACAAGTGGACCGTGGAACAGTTTGAAGGGCTCAGCAATCTTGGCAATGGGGGGATGATGGTCATGCAGACAGGATCTGGTGGAAGGTGATTTGTCCGAGTTGACTTTCTATTATTAAGATGATGCTTTCGAGGTCACTGTCTGTTTTTCTCCACCATTTTTTATGGAACCCTGAGCCTTCTGCTGACGTTCTAGCGCAGTTGGTGATGACGGCAACATTCGTGAAAGTGGAGACCAAAACTAAACAGAGAACATCAGTTGACTGTGATCCTCAGCTAACAAGTGACAGAGAGTTTCTTTACTCTTTCTTGTTATTTGGGCTTTTGTGATTGGGATGTTGGCATCTGGGTGCGTTGACCATAAACCACTACGCAAAGAGGAGAAGATTGATGAAAGGATCCCGTTGAAGGGCCTGTTCTTCGGATAAATGATTCATACTTTTATTCTAGGCGATATCTTTCATAAATTCGGGTCGTCGAGGTTTGTAGTCCCCTTCTGTCACATGAGAAACTATATAACCTTGATTATTTGTTTTCTTTTGATCGATGCTGGCAGCAATCAATGATGCTTAGGCCAACTGCCTTTGCTACTTGGGCAATAAGGCTTGAAGCCCACATGAATCCTGGTTTATGTAAGGTTCTGATAAAAATTATGGCGTATTAAGTACTCTATGTAGCATGCCAATTTAATTTCAAAATACTTCAATTTAGTTCTATAAATTAGCAATTCATATGTCCATAAATTAAAAGTAGAATCATTGCAACCACGGTAAAGCATGATTCCCTGATGGTCAAACTAGTAAGTATGGAGACGAACATAGCCACATAAAAGCTTCTCTTTCTTACTGCCTGTGGTTACTAACTTTACTTCTAACTTGGTGAGTTCTAACTTTGAGGGGTTCGAAGAGTACCAGTCAGGCTCATGCTCACAAATGGGCATGCCACCTGTTGCTTTCTTGTGCCTTTTTAATGTTTATGTTGTTGAAATATTCTGTTTAGTTGGATAGTTATATTTATTATGGCTAGATCTTTCGTATTTCTTGGGTATATTAACCTATATATGTTTTGTGGGGTTGTAACATCTGTTATTTGAGGCGTTTATGCAAAGTACGAAGTTTAACATCTAACTTGAATGCAATGTGTTTTGTTAAGGCAGATATGCCCTAAATAAACGATAGATGAATGCCGTTTTTATTCCTTAAATAAATCAATAAAAATATTAATTAGTGTAAAAACGTTTTTTTTCTGCTAATTCATTATTTTATTAAAAAAATTATTCGTATTAGTTATTGTCGGTAGATGCAGATGAGCACCAGCATGTGTGTCTGCAAGGTGGGTAATGGGAATCATCCCAACCATAGACACTTTTAATACAATTCAATCAGAACACGCTTTTTTTTCCTTAAATTTGGTAAAGAAACGTCTCCATGGGGCATATCTACTGATAGAATAATCTTGAATTGCAGGAGTTAAGACGATTATGGAGGAATTTGAGCGATTATTGTGGGATTTAAGTCGACTTCAATTATTTTTAGATGACTTGGAGTAGTTTGCTTCCCTCCCATTTTCCAGACTATAAAACGGGTGGTTCTGTGATCTGATGGTGAGTAAATGCTTTTCTCTTCCTGGCAGGTACAGTTTACTCGTGCATCATAGTCACGAGGAGCTTCTAGAATTTGGTCTGACTGAAGCGATGCTTGTTGATCAGGAATGGTAGGTTTTTTATGTCTTTTTTAATATTTTTTAATATTTTTTTTTGTGATCTTGCTGAAGTTATTTAATAGCATGGGCTACTTCCATTTGGTCTGCTTGTGTAACAATAGGACTCAGGATTCGGTGCAGACACTGTAATGAAATTAGCTTCATTGGTAGTTAATATTTTCGTGCATAACTTTATTTCAGTCTGTGTGCTTTGAAACTATTTGAACCTCTTATAGTCGCATCTTTTTTGTTTTAATACCCTAATTGGGCTCTTCCCTTGGATTGACCGATTTGGGCAATATGATCCTGCTCTGAATCACGCTCAATTTGACCAGTATGACCACCGAATCAGATCCCAGGTTCCATGATTCTACCAGCCACTTTAGGGTTGCCAGCAATAGACCTAGATAGTTTTTCTCTGTTGCCACGTTAAGTTCACTGGAAGAGGGGAAAAGGGCTTTTTTTTTCTCCTATTGTCTCCAAATTTTAGGAAATAGATGAGGTAACAAAAGCTATTGAAATTCGATAGAAATGGCTATGTATGTGAGCATTGAACATTCCAAGAACGATAATTGTAAAAGTACCATATAAAGAATGCTTCAGAAGTGGGGCCTGAGAGAAAATGTACACGATCTAAGATCAATACGGGTATTTTTTATTGATAAGTAACTAATCTCTGTCAGCTGTATCTGCTGATTTGCTGTCCTAGTTGTCATCTAGTTTCCGTGTGTTTCAATGGTTCTTTATTATTTTCGACATAGCGTTTATATATGGTGTCCTATTATTTTCCCAAACTGCTGATGCTTGTCTCATCTGAGAAACATGTTATAGTTGATCGATTTAAAATTCTCTCAATTTGGTATGAACATGTAGGATTGTTGTGGATGGTCGATGAGTACCCATTTCTGCTGATCCAGGCTCTATAACTCTGGTTTCCAGGATCTTTAGACATTTTTCTAATTAGGGTGAGACTATAATTCTGTATTATTTTTATAATAGGCGATCTTGGATGATCAATGGATCAATTTCCTTTATTTAGTTGAGTTTCATCCTTCATTTTTCTTGTTCTTGTTCTTTTGTGAGAATGTGTTATGCCAAATGCTGTATATCCACTGCTATTTTACCCCGTCTGGAAACAATTAATCCAAATAAAAATGAAATCTTTTACTGCCATGGAAGAACCCATCTGGGATTAAATCCTGTTTGTATGCTGTGAGATTTGCTGATCATTTCTTGAATAAATAGGCAGAAGATTGCAAGGCCAGGGGAACTGAACTACGACTGGTTGACATCAGGGCCATCGTTCTTCACAGATTCCAGCTAAATCACAGTGTATAGAGAGAGAAACTCTCTGCTAGCTCAATACTTCCTTAGTGGCTTAGGTGACCAGAGAGCTAGAGAGAGAGAGAGACCTGGATTGGATAGTCTCTCACAATTTATCTGGGAACGGACCGAGATGGCCGAGGCCTAGGAAACAGGTACACCAACGAACGCCATGTTCTTACAGATTTCTCAAAATATGATCCTAATTATTGGGCCCACTTTGACAAAAAATGAATAATTCTTCGGTCTCATTGACAAGTGGACTAGTTTTCTCTCCCCTTTACAGAGCTCCCCCGTTGAGTGATCTGGGCGGCCAGGTGGGCGACTGGTTGCAATTTGTGAGCACTTTCAGAGTATTTTGCCATAGCGGCTATCCATGTACTGAGCTCTTACAGCTGAAGTTCAAGCTGCTGCAGATCTGATCCAGCATGAACATCACATCATGTGATCTTGGGGTTTCTGTAGAGAGAGACTCCTGGGAAGATGTAGGCACAAGAGCAACTGTTCAACTGTGCTTCGATTTAAGATCTTGGTTGCTAATATGATGCCTTTTTTTTTGCCTTGCCCAATTTTAGCTCATGGTCGAGTTTAATGAATGATTTGATCCCTTTATTCCCCAAGAGAGTTGACTTTGATGATAGGAGGATGGCTCTTTGACATCTCTGTTGACCAAATTGACAGAAAACTAATTGCAATATTGGTTACTGGTAGGGTATCATGACTAAGGGAAAAAATGGCGGGAAAACCCAAATGGATGCAGGAGATAAGGTCAAACCCAAATGGATGCAGGAGATAAGGTCAAACCCAAATGGCGGGTTTGACCTTAATCAAAGGGGTTTGACCTTGACCTTACTTCAAGGAGACGTAGAAGGCACCGTAGCTGACCCAACGGATAGTCTGCCGACTTGGAATCCACCAAATGTGGGTGGGTTTTGACCGAGCTTCTTTTTTCGGTGTAAAATTGAACCTTTGGTGAGTCTCTTCTTTTTTTCAGGGGGTTTGACTGTACACCAAGGGGTGAGGTTGAAGCTACAGAGAACACAAGAGTTGACCTGACTACTGGTCACGTGTGTGCATCGACGCTGACCGGGTTCCAATCAACGTGGAGAACGGCAACATTTAAAAATAGTAAAAGAGTGGGTTTGGGCTCTAATCCTACCCTTCGTGTGAAGAGTTCATGCGATTCTCCCAACCCTCCATATGATAATAATCACTAGAAAATATTTTACTCGTTCTTTTAGTCCCCTTGAGATTGATGGCTCGTGCAGTACCTTGGGTATCATTTAGAGAGAGAGAGAGAGAGAGAGAGAAAGATGATTGGTGGGCAACCCGACCGCGGCGGCAAAGATGGTTTCTTTGACGTGTTGATCGACTTGGTTGGCGCGTCGACTGGTCTCCCAAGCGAGAATGGGCCCCTCGAGGGCGCACGTGGATGGTGGATAGGGCCAAGTCCGAGTAGGACGGTGAGGGTAGCGACGACTGGGGACGGCGGTGGCCCGCCTCACTGCCCCTCCCTCGCCGGGCTCCCCGACCTCGGGGGTTTTAGGTAGTTCGCCTTCTCGTGTTCCGGTTGTTTGTTTCAAGTGCCGCGTTCTCTTCTTCCGTACGGACCGATCCCACCCTTCCTTGCCTGTGGCGTTGCAGTGTTCCGATTACGCAATTGCCTCTTCTCTTCTTCCCTCTCTCTCCCCTCTTGGGACGCTTCCTTCTCAGAGGAGGCGAGGGAGGGGGAATCCGCCGGGGGTGAATTGTCTCATCGTGTTGGCGGAGGAGGCATAAAAAGAAGCAGGGGGAAGAAAGACAGAGGGCGCAGGAGAGATGGGCGACGATCGGGGTTGTGTCCAGTCGGAGGAATCTGTCAATGGTGGAAGAGATGCCTGTGACTCGACGCCCTCGGAAAGCGCGTCTGCCGATCATCTTGTCGTCATGGTTCATGGTATCCTTGGGAGGTGAGCTTCATTGAGGCCGCCATGCTTTCGATGATTTGAGAGCTCCTTCTGGTTCGCTCCGCTCCCTCTTTTCCCGACCCACCTCTCCTCGTGGCTGTTCTCTTTGCCAGGCTTTCGGGAACCATGTCATCGGCAACTTCGATTTTAATTCCGTTTTCCTCTCTATTTCCTTCGAAAATATTTTCTCTGTGTTCGTCTAGAAAATTGAGATTGGGATCCCCCTCTATGAAATTAAGCGGACGTTTTTTCTTAATATTTCATGCCATGAAATCACCATCTTCATGCCCCACTTTTTCTCTGACGAAATTTTGCGTAATTCAGGCGCTACGTTTCGCAACTCTTTTGGTAAATACTGATGCAGAACGAGTATCATATTATCTTTGCTTATTTCACGTGCAATCCGTCCGCGAGCTTCAATTTTTTTTCACTTTCCTCAGAAAACCAGTCTTTCTCTTCACCAGTAAGCTCTCTTCCGGGAGAAGCTCGATCGAATTAATGTCGGGTTTGGATGATTTTGATATTCGTTGGATAAAAAATCAATAGAGATACATGGCATCAAGGTTTCAGCAAATTAAAAAAAAATAAATTAATGAAAAAAATTCAGGAGAGTTCCTTTATCTCAAGGAGATTTACAGTCCTTGCAGTAAATGAGGATGCCTGGAAGGGAAGGAAAGGAAAACATGTACCGTGGCCTTTGTTTTAGTAGAGAATATAACAAGGTAATAATAAATTAGCGCAGAAATATGTTCTCACTCAAGAAATATTTTCGAATACTTTTTATTCTTCATCTCACCGATGCTAATGGGGTCCTTCTATCTGATGTGATCTTTCTTCTGTCAAATATGCCCCTCATACAGCTGGCCTCTACACTGACACCCTGAATACGGAAGGATGAATCAACATCAGAAGAGACAGCAAATCTTTTTATGGAATCAAATTCATAATTTGGTGATGATGGGGAGAATATCACAAGGAGTCATTTGTGGGGCCCATCAAACGTTGAAAATGAATTTTTTTCGGGCTACTGATAAATCATTGCGCGACATTGCTTATGACACAAGAAACTATAATGTTAGATACATCTCTAAGCTGGATAAATAGGGCTCACGATTATGTGGTAACTAGAAGGAATGGGGCCCACGAAAAAGGAGTGAGGTAATTACTGTTAGGGAGAAATTTTTTGTGATATTGTGATTCCCTGGTTTGTGGGCATAGATGGAAGAATTGGTATCAGAAGGATTTGAGTTGAGGCTAAGCCATTCGGCTGAAATTGACTTACAGAAGGGACTAAACGGCAACAGTAGAGTGGTTTTTGGGGACTAAGACCATTGTTTGAACAAATTTGTTATTGACAGATAAATTTGTTAACCGATCTAAATGAAGTAATTGTGTCATTGCTGGCCTATTTTGTACGTCTTTAAAACAAAGACCACAAATGAAAGAATTTCTGTCTTTGTTGGCCTATTTTGAGATTTTACTGCAATTAAACTCTTATAAACGTATTTCTGCCTGTATTTCAGTAAGCCATAGCAATATAATTTGTGGCCTTTATTTCCTTTCGATCTGGGCTTAGGATCCTTCCCTTGAGCCCACAGGTTTGCCTGTTCCAGTCTTGGTGTTGAACATGCTATCGCTGGCCGATTTAGAGATCTTGCTGCTGGAAACTTACAAAATGAAAATCTACCTTCCGCCAGTTTGAAAAATAATATTTACAAGAAAATGTGTAGAAAATTCGGATGTACGTGGGCTACTTATAATCGGAAAATCAGTTTTTTCGCAGTTAGCTTATTAGTCGACAGTAGAAATCCCATTGATGTTATTCTGAATTTTGTTCTCACAGTTTTTGGAATTATTTTCACCGTGAAGAAATATATTCATCCTGCCTCATCTTTTGGAGCGTACATCGTATTATTATAGTTTCCATAAAAGGTCATTGAATGTTTGAAGCTGACATAACTTTTCGCAGTGAGGATGATTGGAAGTTTGCTGCTGATCAGTTTACGATGAATCTTCAGGATAAAGTGACCGTACATTGTGAGAGCTGACTACTTTTATCATCATTTTTTGATAACTATCTATTGTATTTTTTCCCGATAATGTTGGATTTGAATAGAAATCGCTTCTTTTGCGCTATGTCTAAATAGGCTCAGCTGCATTTTTCTATTTCCTAATGATGGTTACGGGCATATTTATTCATACCAATAATAGGGATGAGAAAAACAACTGGCAAACCAAAGAAGGGGTAATTAGGGAAAATATTATTCAGTTGATTTCAATAAGGAGGATATGGATAGCCAGTGAGACCCTCTCCTATAGTGTTGCAGTGTATATATTCAAATAAGAGAACCTGAATAAGGGAAAGCGGGGGAATTAGAAAAACAGGGAAAGACTAGACAAGGGAACACTTGTCTGTTAACATATTCAATTTTGGGTATTTCTAAATTTTCTAGTTTTAATACATTTGTACCTTCCTAAACCATTGTCTGTGAATCTAGCGAACCGCAGAAACAGCTGCTTCCCAGAAGCGAGAAGAAGTTTAATCAAATGCTGCTTAGCCAGATGAGGAACCACCTAATCTGGCAGAAATAATCTGTCTATGCTTACGTTATAGACCTCTTCCATTACCTTATACGCAATATTAAATGTTCTGCTAGTTTTTTCGTGGTTTCGACCCTTTTCAGAATGGCTTCTATGTTTTGTTTGACATGAGAAGTAGTATTCTCTAGAATGTTGTTTGTTGATTGCCATGATACATAATTCATATGGCATTCGCAGTTCAATAATTATTTAACTTTGGAGTTTATCTTAGGATATTATTTTTTCAACTGAGTTCGGATGGAAAGCTCATAATTCTTTATTGTTTCTTATTTGACATCTCACACGATAACTTCTTCTTTCCTGAACCAGGCCCTTCAGGCCGTTGTGACCCTTTAACCTAAAAGAGCGATTACAATATTCCACTTTGGTTTTATTTTTAAAAGGAAGGTAGCTAAGGCGCTGGTCATTCAGCATTATTTTCACGTACCTATCCTTCCTCAGAATATAGTTAGAAATAGTGTGTAATTATTTTTTTTTAAAAAATTGACCCAGATTTACTTTTGTTTCTGCAATCCACTTAACTCATGGAACTTTTTGTAGGTAGCAGATGCAATGTACGTCAACGAAGTTTAGATGGTGTTGATGTTATGGGTGAGCGGTTGGCAGAGGAGGTTAGTTTATCATTTCGTTGCAATATTATATATATGCACATGCATGAAATATTCATCTCTCTTAAGTCTTGTCTTTATTTTTATGAGTCTTACATGTTATCGTTGGAAGTAAAATGGAATCAGTTGCTATCAGACATGGTCTCAATCTATGATCCTTTCCCTTTCATCTTCCCTCTTGTTGGGCTCCTAGCAGAGTTTCTCTCATGAATGTGCTGATGGACCAATGTTTATCATGCCTTATTCAGCCTTTCTCGCTCTCACATAGACCTACCCCTCCATCTGTGTGTGTTGGACAAAGGAAGAACATACATACATCGTGTACATTTGCTCACTCCTTTCTTACCAAGGGCGTTGATAAGCATTTTGACTGATTGATGAAATGTGAAATCAGGTAAACAGTCTGATTCGCCAGAGACCAGGATTCCGAAAAATTTCTTTTATTGCACATTCTGTTGGTGGGTTAGTCGCGAGATATGCGATTGGAAAGCTTTACAGACCCCATGGAAGAAATGATCATGATGAGCCTTCTGATGATTATGGTGATGAAAGTTCAACGGGTACAATTGCTGGGTTGGTGGCCTTGAATTTTATTACTGTTGCTACTCCTCATCTTGGATCCAGGGGAAACAAACAGGTACCCTTCTTCTCAACAAGAAACTTGGGACATGACGTTTGTTACTTTTTATATTCCTTTTATGTATATAACATCATCTTCTATTAGTTTTCATTTGCGTGGGCGTTCTGTATTCTGGTTTATCATATTAATACATACTACAATGTCTCAGTAAGGTCATGTCTTCGCATCACCTGATTATCTACGCATGAATACAATCTGCCCCTATCCATGAAGAAACAAGGCTGGCCGGCTATTGAAGCCGGTGCCATGGACTCCACCAGAGAGGGCCATGAGACACAAAACGGTGACACCCAAATGAGACATGACCTAAATGTGGACCTTTTTGATAAGTTGAAAAAATCTGCTTTTCTATGAGCTCACTTCCCATTTTCCGAGGTCCTTCAAGTAAATACTAAATTTGGTTAAGTTCATGTGAGAGGACCATGCTCGTTAGGTCATATGCCCGAATAGAAAGCCGATGCACTGTATCATCAGTAGAAAGCAGCGGATTTCCCAGATTCAAATGCATGTTCACCAATTACAATCTGGGCCCAATCTAATGGCCATTCCCGAACTCACTTAATTACCCGTTGTTGAAAAAGTACGTGAAAAACTCACATTTTTATCTCTTCACTCAGTGACTATATGAAGATGGTTGACTAAGATCATATAGATGCTACTTTACTTTGAGTCACCTATTTGGGAAATTCGAATTTCCATCAGTGGGATTGATTATTGAAGTTGACTGGCAACCACATCTTGTAAGTGGTAAGCCAAATATGAATTACTATTGTAGTCATTTTTCTGGTGAAGCTGATTGGAAATCATGCGAGGATACACAGTTTTTTGAAAAAAATGTACTTGCAGGAATTTATTTGCTTTCCAATGCAATGACCACATTTTCTGATACGGTCGCTAGGTGAGGCCTTTCATTATTACAGAATGAATATCCATCAAATAGTATCATCCAGTCATCTAAGAATTTCCCCCTGGTCATGACCTCTTGCCCATTTGTTCACCTCTAACTTGTGACTTGAGAGTCCTTTTATGACAAGTTTGGTAAATAGGAAATGACATGTTTGGCAATACTTCTATTATATCTCTACATTCAGTGCAATTTCTCTTCTTGCTTCTAAATTCTTTTTGTCCAATATGCGAAGAAAGAGATGATGACTCCCCGTAATCTTCTGTTTCCTCGCTCCACTCATAGGATTACTTTACATTAAATCTGCTTTCATGCTTTTATTGTCATCAAACTCATTAAACATCGTGTTGCATATATAAGATTAATATTAGGAATCATAAGTTATAAGCTAAGGATCCATAAAACCCAGACTTGTGCAACTTCTACTTCCAGTTTTCAGTGTGGCAACATGGTGACTGATGCTGATATGGCGAACAATACTTATAACAGATTTTTTATTAACATTTTGTCTGAATGTCTTGGCTCGTTGTTTTTATTAATGGTTTATTTTTTTTCTGTTTCTGGGCATGATATATAATTTTATATATGTTGCTATGTAGATTATGACTTGGCTATGACATGTTCATGCTAAGTGCAGAAATTAACCTATATATCTCTCTATATATATATATTCAGTGCATCAAGGATGTGGAACGCAAAAATGTGTGGAGTCACTGCTTTTGAGAAAGCTTCACGCCTTGTTATATATATATGTTAATTTCTGCATAACAACTTTCTAATGGCAGGTCCCATTTCTCTTTGGCGTCCCTGCTTTTGAGAAAGCTGCACGCCTTGTTATTCACTTGATATTTAGAAGAACCGGTAGACATCTTTTCCTCACTGATAATGATGAAGGGAAACCTCCATTGTTACTCCGCATGCTAGATGATTGTGCTGATATTTGTTTCATGTAAGCTATACGCTTCCTTTCACCCTGTGATCTTTTTGGTAGGTAGTCTAACATATTGAACAAACATCTCACTCAGGTATCCATGTGTTCCTTTGTAGGTCTGCATTGCGAGCATTTAGGCGTCGAGTAGTATATGCAAACGTTCACTATGATCGTATCCTTTTTGAAGTGTCATCGATTTTCATCTAGTCTCATCTCACTTTTTTACCTTGACTCTGTGTTGAAGATATTGTTGGATGGAGGACATCATCCATCAGACGCAACTCTGAACTTCCAGGGGTAATTATTTTTTTTCATTGATAAAACTCATTTTTCTTCTTCTGGGATTTTTTCATGTGTTGGAAATATTTCTTCCTTTCTCATCTTACAGAAGTTTGCTCTAATGCCTACAACTTTTTCTGTTTTTTAGTGGGAGGACTCTATGAATGACAAATATCCACACATCGTGTATGAAGAATATTCCAAAGGAATCAATGTCAGTGATGGGCGAGAGAACTGTGTTGCGATTGATAGAACTGATGATTTAGAAGGTTACTATCTCTGGCATTTATTTCAATTTTAGCGGTTGTACAATATGAGTTGATTTGTTCTTCTTGTAACGTTGGCATCAGTAAGTGTGCTTAATGAGATGAGACTCCAGTTACTTGAAAATTCTATTGTCAACTTCATGAAAAGGGTATAAGCGAAACTTGTACAGGAAGAAGAGTCAGATGTGATGAATTGGACCTGGGTTTTGATATTTCAACTTCATAATTCCTGGTGAAACTTAGCTATGTTAAAAGCTCCCACCAATTTTCGGAATTCATATATTTTGATAGTTCTGGAAGCCATTCATGCCACTTTGTTAAGAGTAGTCCCATACTGATTAGTATGGAAAAAAACTGTTATTATTATAATTCTTCTTTAATTTCCTTCAGCATACAAGATAACGAAACTTATATGAAGTAATGGAGAAAAAATAGAAAAGAACGGTTCTGAGAAGGCATCCAGTCTCGTCCAATAATTACTTCGCATATTACTGTTGGTATTTTTATTTTGATTTTTAACTGTATTCTGTATGCAGAAAGGCTCATAATTCTCGTAGAAAGCCATTGATTTTCAATTCCACTCTGAAACTTGGAAATTTTCTTTAGATCAGAATTTTTTGATGTGCACAAATACTTGTGAATAATTGTACACCAAGAAATTCTTTCCATTTTCATCAAATTTTTGGCGGAGACATTAAAAATTTCAGATGTCTTATAGCCGCCAGCAGCAGCTCGAGAACAGAAAGGTTGCTGGTTCTCATCTCCAGAAACTTATTTCTGTTTCTGTGGGTTGAATTTATTCAAACATTTTCTGTGGAATTAATCTACTAGGATTCTTTCCTCACATGCATATTTCATTTATGTTGCCTATTTGCAGAAGAGCTGGTCACCGGTCTTACACAGCTATCATGGGAAAGGGTGGACGTCAGTTTTCACAGAAGCAAGAGGCGATTTGCTGCCCACAGTGTCATTCAGGTTCATTCTCCTTCCGTTACACAAGAAATCCTTCTCTTCTCTGCTTTATTCTGGTGGGTTCTTCTGTGTTTGACATTTCCTTCAGTTCTTCTCACAAAACATGGAATTCAACCACTGAAAGCTACCACAAATTGTGATCTTGAGGAAGTGGATTCTATAACGATATCTTACATCCAGTTAAATTGCACAGGTCAAAGATACCATCTTACATTTGGAGGGGGCTGATGTTATTCAGCACATGATTGACCGCTTTGATGATTGATCGATTTTCACCTTCACAATGTAGGGTTTCTATAATTTAACAGTCCCTTCTTTCATCCCCAGGAGACTGATTATGTCCTAATTTCTTTGTATTCGATTCATATAGTCTCTCTCCATTGGTGGCTGATTCTGGTGGACCAAGGGAAATCTAATCTTTCTTATTAGAGGTGAAGACTGGAGTTTATTGCGGCTCCTCATATCCCATTTTTCTCAGCTTAAATAATTGTAATATATGTGTATATGGGAAGCATTACATGTCTAAATGAGAAGCATATTTCATAAGCTTCTGGCACTAATAGTTTTCATATATCATGTAATTTTCCTTTACTGTACATAAAATGTCATATAACAGCGAATATATTATGGATATTAACTAATTATTTATGGACAACATGTGAATATGGGTGGTGCATTTTGGCACCTTCTAACAAGAGCATAACTTCCAACTGTCGGTGGCTGGCTGGGTGGGTTTTAGAAGGCCAGTGGGATAAGATTCCAAATGTCAATGGTTGGGTATTATTTTTTGTCCTCACAAGTTTGCTCAACACATCATTTTATGACAACTTGTATATAGTTGTAATGAACTATTGATTATGACAACTTATACTATATCATGGATTAAAGCGAGAATCTCTAAAGTGCATTTACAAATATGACCAATATATTATGAAGTCGTGAAACATTTTGATGAAGTCTTGACAAACAAAGACTACTTGCATACAATTAGCTTGATACCAATCTACTGAAATATCTAAATAAATCATATACATTCTAGATTATAATAAGCTGAATTTTTATTTGTTTTGTATTGGGTTCATTAAAACATAGTAATCTTCTTTTGGTTGTAATTAAGCACAATTTATATGATGAAATGGAAGAATGAATCTTCTTCATTGTTCTCTTCATTATGTAGTCGTTTGTTTGTTAAATGCTCATTTCCTTTACTTACTTTCTTTCTCATTTCATGAAATGAAGCTGTTAAATGTTTCCGCTCCAAAGTTTTCAAATCACACATCTAAACAAATCTTCCAAGTTTTTGCAGAGGCTTGGAAGTTGAAGAGTCGCCCAAATATACTAAATAACGTGTAAAATCCACATGCCTGCTGATTTTGTAACTACACATGGAACATCTTAGTCAATTATTGACAATGAACATTTATCAATAGAAGACATAGTACCAAAAAGTTTCTCAACACAACAACAATATAGGAACTAGAAAATAAAAAATTATTTAGATTAATTTACCTAATATACATAATTTCCTGAACATCGAATTATTTTTCCCAAAAGTCTTCCATTTAAGTGGAGAAGATTCTTGAAAATATAACCTTCATTTAAAACATTGTTAATTGAAGGCTTTCATTCTATACAACACAATTTTGTAGTAAGATGATTAATAGAATTCAAGATTACAAGTAATGAACCGATATTGTTTGACTTTAGATGAGTCATGCGGCTGATAAAATTAAATAGCTTAGCATGAGGATATCAGTGACATATAGATCTTTTGAGTTACCCAAGTATCATTAATAAAGTGGGTGTCCAATTTTCTATTTCTTCATCACATCTAATTGTTGTCCAATTCATGTTGTTCATTATCTTCTCCAAAATCCAAAGAGAACATTACTTAAACAGACATGTTGAGTAATGGATTAATTCAATATTTTCTATAGATGATTTTTATAGATTAATATAAAATCATGAAATTGATGATATGAAATGTGAATTTGGTTGGATATTGATGTCTTAGACAAGATTAAAAAACATAGATGATAAATACATACATTGAAAGACATTGGTAGAAATTGTAAGGCGTTGAAAGATTAAATTAATAACCTTGAACATAAACAAATGTCTCATATCATTTCAATTCTCATTAAGGAATAAATGTTACAATACTATATAATTATAAATCTGTGTGAAGTAAATCTGTCATCATCCTATGCACAAGTCATAAAATTTTGAGTTTTATTATCATGTGACTTGATTAATATCAGTGAGTAGGTAACCATTAGAAAGATATCTTGATGAGGAGTTTAATAAAATAAAATTCGGAGAGAATTAATAAGACATTGAATTTATATTGATATTAAAATATTAATAAATTAATATTTTCACCCAAGATAAAATAACTAAAGAGTTTGACCCATCAAACTGAAGTAACTTTTATTTGAAAAATTATGTCACATATGCAAGAGTGTGACACAAGTTAGTGGAAAATTGATTCAAAGAGAATTACAAAGCTGAAAATTACACATCAAAATTCAAAGTATAAAAAGAGTTATGATTTTTAGAAATTATATTTTTTTGTATTTTTTAGAATTTGAGTGTGGCTTACAAAGGCCTGCCTAAGCTCAACCATAAGACCCAATAAGGGACAAAAAGGGTCGATCCAGCCTCACCATAAAAGGAAAAATTTCATCCAAATTGAGGAAATGAGAAATCAGATGAATTTCAAATGGTACTAGTTGCTTTAAAAGTTGTTTCTCTTCTCCATCACCACTTCTCAAATCACAAAGACATAGGTAAGATCAAATTGATTCAAGAAAGCTATGCATGTTAATTGGAATCTCAATCAATTATTTTATTAGTTAAATACTTTTAAAATATTTTAACAACATAGTAGGGTGTATTAGTTGAGACAAACCTCTTTCCAAATTGATTATTTATTTTTACTATGATTTTTTACATGTGGATTAGTTGAGACACGTATGGTGTATTAGCATCATAGTTCTATAGGTCATTGAGGTATTTGTGGTGTGTTAGCAATGAGGAGATATCTAGATATATAGGGATCAACAAGATGAGATATAATAATACTTTAGGATGTAGATATTGATCCTTATAAAATCAAACAAATTCACTAAGTAGGCTATGGAACACAATAACCACACATGAAAAATAATTCTACTTTATGGTGATACTGTTCATGTTGACAATTGCCATCATGGCAGTCATGTAATGACTCTTGAGGGACTATTTGTTCGACCACTCTAATGTTTCTTTCTATTGCCTAGGACATTCATCTATGGTTCTATCTTCTCTCTAATTCCTTTTAAAAAAAGAGAATTAGAAACATATGAAATGAGATATTCTCTTGGGTATCTCTTGAGGGTGTTCCAAAGCATTTGCGTAATATGACTTAAATACATACTTACTTACCCTTGATATGCCTTTATCTATTTTATCTCCAAATAGTGATTAAGCAAACTAAGTTCTATTTACATGTAGCTTTATCACATGCAAATATTACTTGTGGACCTTGACGTGACTTAGTCATTGTATAGTAAATCACACAAATTTAAAATTTATAAAACTAGAAAATATAATTTTTTGAATATTTATAAGTATTTTTGAATAAATATATCAATTATAATTCAATAAAACTTCCACAAATAGCGATAATTTTCCAAGTTGATCACAAGGATGTAATATAATATTGGGTAAATATTTAAAATTTTTCTCAAAGAATACTATTTTCTATAAATTTTATATTAAGAAATAAAATAAAATATATTTAAAATTTATGAAAAAGAGAAATAAGGGTGCAAGCGTTAGGATGATGTCAACACCCGACAAATGTGAATTGAGCAGAAATAGAGTTCTGTCCAACAATTCTTACGTAAGTAATTGTAGACGATTTAATTGATCAAATTAAGATATACTATTATCTAGTGGAGTTATGTCGAAAAATAATGACTTTGCGGCTCTTTGACAACTGTTACCCAACGAAGAAGAGCTAGATAGAGGTGGGGCTCATGTTAGGGAGCTTCATCCTCAGGTCCGCGCAATAAGAAGAGGCTCTTCATTGCATCTGGTGTGCTCTTAAGAGGTGACAACTAGTCTCCTTACGGATCGTCCTCTTCTCGATGACAATTTATTTTTTGATCAATTAAAGATGTTTTACTCAATAGATTCACGATCCTTTTATCATAAATTATTTAGTAATTTTAGTAATAATGTTTCGTAAATTACATTGATGAAATTTTTGCCGATGATCTGGTGATTTTGGTGGCTTAATCCTTCACTAGTGATTTGTAGAAAAGTCATGATAATTAGATAAAAAGTATAAGTTTTGATTATGAGAGAATTTGAACCTACACTGGTTGTCCATTTACATGAGAGAGATTGACATAAGTACTCTAATATCCTTATCTAATGACGTCATCATGGTATATCTCTATTATAAACAAGAGGTATTTTAAGTATTAAAATCATCGAACCATTTTTAGGGAAGGTGTGATGCAGGTTTAGTCCCACATTACTTGTGTGCCAAAGTTTCGGGTGAATATATAGTAAAATTATATTTACAAGTCCTTTTTTTTCACGTATACGACCACTCCCTTCCCCACAGTCGGTTGCCCACTAGTGACGTGGAAGGGGAGTGGCATACACATGCCCTTATTAGTCTTAGTTGCTCAAGCCCCTACTTGTGGCTACTCTCTGATTGTGCTTCTGACTTGCTTGGGGGCTTGGCTGGCCGACGGGTCCCCTCTATTTTATTATATTTTTATTTTTATTTATTTTTCTTCATTTATCTCAAAAGTAAGATTGTAAAAATCAAATAAATTCGTATAAAATCACATAATTATCCAAAAATTCACATTAATCAACTAAAAACCACTTTTTATATTTTAACATAAATATAAGTCTATTTTATCATGATTTAAGGCTAAAACTATATTATTTACTAATTATTAACTCATGATAATGAAGACTTATCAGGCCCCTTATTATTATCCCTCACATCTTTGTATCTATAATTTAATGTTAGAATTTTAGATAAATATCACAAGTATAATTGAGACTATGACACAAGAGAAAATTGAACTCCTAAAGTGAAAAAGATTTAGGCATTGAAGGAAGAGTGAGAAAAATTGGACTCACAAAGTTTAATCAATTATCCTTTTGTCCTCTCAACCTTAATTTGATAACTTCTTTAGTGAATCCTATGTAGAAACTATGCCTTAGTTTATCAGATTGATGGTCCTATACATGTGC